GGCAGGCAGAGAATTTAAATTGAAAAAGCTGTTGAAGTTCTGTTTGGACTTTCATTGTTAAAGATTGTGCATTCAATATTTAAATTTAATTTAAAGGAAGTAAAGTGGTAAGCAGGATGGTTAAGTTATACTTTTATCAAATAATCTTGAATACCACAAAAACTTAATAATTCGTTTTCTGTAAATTTCATGTGAACCTTACACATCATTTATTTGCATCAAATCATCATCAAACCCAAATTAGCTTTAAAAATTCAACCAGAACCAAATAAACATTAACTCATACAAAAATACAAATGCAGTATCGTCAGTCAATTATTTGTATGGTTACAAAAGGCATCAATCAATTCACATCGCATTGCCGAAGGCTGGAGGCGTTAACCGAGCAAGGAAACAGAAAGTTTCAAATTTCAATTGTATTAAAAATGTTCAATTGCTCGAAAAATTCATCAACTGCCCTCAACATGTCATGTGCTTAGTTTTTGAAAGCACTTAATCAACTAAATGAAATCAAAATATTTTGCGTACTCAAGGACTTTTACATCCTCTGTAATTTTTTGCAACAATAAATTTTTTTCTATGAGATACTTTATGCTGCATCTAAAAAGGGAAATTCTAATTATATTTCTGTACTGCAAAAAGAATAAAATTCTGCTCTAATTGCACAACATGAATGTAGTGTGTGCCTATTTTATGTATATGCCTCTGGTTGTAATGTAACTGATGAATACAGCTGCTCTCTTAAGTTCCTTTTACCATCATTAAAATTGTAAACGTAAAAAAACAGCAGCAGCACATAGAGTTTATATAAAGAGGATTGAATGAAGGGAAGTTTGTCAGGAAAAAGATAATCAGTCTTTGTTCATTTTTTTAAAAAAACGCATGTAATAATAAAATGTACATTTAGATGGTGAGCAAGACTCGATGATTGCAACATGGCTCATGTTGTTAAAAAAATGGTACTCAGCAGTTGTATGTGCGGATGAACTAAGGGGTAACATAAGGATACAGTTCAGATTTAATCAAATGTAAGCTAAACTTCCCTCATTCCAGACCTGCATTATATGCACTATTGGAAGCCATCGAATGTTTCAAATTAATTCATTGCTCACTAAATGTTTATGTAAAAAATTCATAAGGGTCTTTTTTTGCTCCTGGTTGTCACTTTAAAGGACGACATGTAGTTTCAATTGCACTACTTTTATCAGAACAGATTTACTGAGATTTACATTCAGAAGAAACTCATGAAAAATGCCTTTTCATGTCCTTACAATTAACATTTCATTTTTAAATCACGTACGAACGTCAATTGAGGTTTCCTTTTCTTCATTTCCATTTCATTCAACAAAAACAGGAACTTAAGAGCGCATCGTTAATTAGAATGCAGAAATGAGCGTTTTTTAAATAATGAAAAAATGAGCTATGTGCTTGTTATTCACTTTAATTTACAATGTGCTCAAATGTATGTAAATAATCACACAGATGATTGCTTGCTACTGGCTGATGATGAATTTGACATTCATGGAATGAGCAATATTGTTTTTGAGAATAGATTGTTAAACTGGTTTATTTTTGGTTCGACTTGAGTTCGACAAAAAATTGAAGCATTAATCGTAATCCTTCTCTTTTAAGAGAAAAATAAAATTTAAAATTTGATAAAAAACTTGCAAAATTCATAAAATGTTTGACACCAAAAATTTCAACAGAACTAAGATCAATGAAGATGAATTGATATTTATCGAAATTTTTGACTACTTCTCAAATAAAAATGCTTGATATTGCGTTTATTCATCTCATTTTACCGACGACATTTCTTCTGTACCCTTTAAATTAGATATATATTCTATATATTTAAGTATCAGAGTTCGAAGTTAACTTAAATTCAGTGTTGCATTCTGGCGATTTGTCTGGATCAGATAAATTCTGAGACAGAAATTTCTTCATAAAGATCGATTCTATGTGAAGATAGAAAATCTAATCTACACAAAGATTATTTCTACATAAACATTCGATGTAGATGTCTACAATTCTACATTTTTTCCAGGTCTACATCAGAGAAGAATGAATTGTAGACATCTACATCGAATCTTTATGTAGACAGATTCTTTATGTAGAAATAATCTTTGTGTAGATTAGATTTTCTATCTTCATATAGAATCGATCTTTATGAAGAAAGTTTCTTAGCTAGACGAAAATTATTGAAGAATCTACATACATTCTTCATCTAGTGTAGACATCTACATTTGCAACACTGCTTAAATTTTATACGTAAAAGTTGAAGCAGCCAGACTCTATTCAAAATTTTATTCATGACTAAGATATTCAAAGAATAATCAATCAAATCTGATTTAATTTTTGAATTTGAAGCTTGAAAGATTGAAACAAACACTGAATTCTTTTAGTATTTGAGTTAAGTATATACTTACAATTAACGGAAGGTTCACTTTATTAATGAATTAAATACGTTCCATATTGATCCACATAAGAATTCCACTTAAACTTATTTTAACTAGAAATTTTGATCTTATACAATATTTTTCAATTCCACAAACGATTGAACTTTTCGAAAATCCTCTGACTTATTATTTTGTGAATTTTTGATTTCTTCACAGCAGTTTCTTTTCTTTATTGGATTATTTCTTTATAATTGTCACACATTATTCAGCAATATCCTACACTTTTCTTTACACTTTATAAAGCCTCACATAACGCAAGTAAATTCAATTAAAATGCCATTGTATAACATCACTAGCGAGTAAACAAATTCAAACTGAATGCTTATTTGATGTTCAGCAGCCTTTTTTCCGCAGAATCAAAAGCACAATTGAAAAAAAAAATTCTATTTACTTTCGCTCTTTTTGCTCCCTCGAATCCTCAAACATTACTCTCAATACACTCGTGCAATGTGCCGAGTATATTTCTTTTTCTGAATGAAAGGGCGAACTATTCAAGTTTGTTGATATTACACAGGCTTGTTGTATAGTCCTTGTGATTCCCCTACACTTTACATTCTCGACAACAGCCATTTTTGTTCATGCTGCTCATATATTATGTAAATCAACTTACACTGATGAAAATTTTTGCGGTAATCCATTTCATTCGTCTATGTCTGATGTCTTGATCATTTTCTCTCGGTGTCAAACACATGCGCAGCACAGATGAATTTTTTATATCGCTATAAAATAATGAGGGTCGAGAGCTAGACATCTAATGCTTTTGGATTATTCATTATATACTGCTGTTTTCGTATACTTTATAAGCTCCTCCCATAAGGCAAACCCTGCTTGAACAAGCTTTTGTATATAATGACGTCATTTAGTTGTGCAGTATCGTGACTTTTGATGTCTTGGAAATTTTTTTTTACTGTGGAATTTAGTTAATATCAATTCCTGTGCACTATAGAAACCAATTGTCAAGCTGTTCAATATTTATTACATTCTATTCGCTGTTAAAAAATAAATATTGTGATATCAATTGATATTTACAACCAAATTACACGCATCGGAAGTCATGAATATTTTTTCCTACCTTCCTTCAAGTACATCCATTCAAGCTTCATTGAGTAAATTTTATTTCATAAACCTGTAAAATTGGCCTCGATAGATAAATAATGGATTTCAAGTGCTGTAATTAAATTTGTTCGCAAAAATAATTTTTCTTTTTCGTTGTTTTGGAAAGGATTCTTTTTTTTTGGAAAATTTATCTCAAGTGGACCTTCTTTTACATTTTTATCCGGTTCACGTGATTCTTGTAAAAATATTTTGGTTAATGTGAATTTTATGAGAAAAATTTCTGATCCTTTTTATTTAATGGAACTTTACTGAATGGATAATTTTTTTGAGGAATTAGATTTTACTCCCACTTGATTAATCAAAATTTATGATTGATTTTTACAATTATGGGAAAATTAGCAATGCTGAATATTCTGCAAGAATAAAGGACTTTCTCGATGAGGAACTGAGGAGTGGTGCCGTCAGAGCACTTGGCAAATTCACAAAACAAATACAACTTTAAACTCTAAAATCATAGCCTTCAAACATTTCAGTCACACGAGAAACTAAATATTTTGTAGGATGATCCTCAAAATAATATTCAAATATTTTAGTAATTATCTCATTTACACCTTCCAAAAGTAGTTCAGTTCTATTTTAGTCTCTTCAAAATCCTCTTTAAATTGTTTCTCATGCTAATTTTATTTCAAGCAGTAATCTTAAGTTGTGGACAATTTCTCATGTCTCAAAAGAGAGCATGTAAGTTGACAAAAGTCTCATGTAAACTTCAAATAGATAGAAATAATACACAAGTAGTTCTAAGGACCGAAAAAGGATATGAGAAGGTAAATAGATCGGAATTTCAAAAGGATAGAAGATTTAAAGGCATATGGAAAGTGTGTTTACCATTTTCGGACTGATCACATGACAATCAAGATAATAGACAGAACATCATAAAACATAGTTTTGTTAAGAAGATTAAAGTCTGAAGAGAAGATGAAAACTCGAGGACAATGCATGATATTTTTAATAAACAGATTATCTGCCCACCAATTTACTTACTCTGATGACAATTTTCTGTAAAATGCAAAGTTTTGCTGTGAGAAAATAATTTTTTGAGCGGATACTTTTGTTTGGAGGATGGATAGACTAAATTGGCAGAATTAATGTTTGTATATCAGTTTAGAATTTAACTAAAGCAGACGTTTTTACAAATTGCTTCACAAATAATTACAAAAAATCTCAAGAGAACAATAGCACAGATTACCTGTGAAAACTTTTGCATGAATGACGTGGTTTGACCATTCTTGAAATCTTTTTTAATGCAGACTAGGCAACGAATTTACACTTGATGCATTCGTAAAAGAATAGTAGGCAGAATGCCAAGTGCTCATCAAAGATTTGTAAATCACAGTAATTCAAATGTTGACGATTCATTATATGAATGTGATGAATGTAGCCATTTAAGTATTCATTAAATTAACGACATTGAAAAAGGCAGTTCTAGATATCCTGGCGAAAATTCAAATTTCTAAATTTTCAATATATGCTGTTATTTCATGTTTATTCTTTGTTTAGATCTATTTTATTAGGTCCTGGTATATTTTCGCAATTAAATGTAAATTTTCTATAATCTTTATTCAATCGCAATTAGAATTGCTAGTAAGGTATGTCACTACTTTGATTAATGTTATAAAACTTGGACAATATCATGATTTTGAACTTGCATTACGAACTTGACATTTAATTTTATTTATGCTTTATCTTTAATTTCAATTATTTATTTCTTTAAAATAAAAGTATTTGATGAAAAATTAGAGTAATGTAATAAAAATTTTAATCATCCATCACAAACCGCAAAACGACTTCATTCCTTCCGCTTTAATCTCTCTCCACAACATTGCGGTCACATTCTGTAGATCATTGAAATGTATGTGTAGTATAGAGTCGTAAGTAACGTAAACCACTTTAACCGAAATGGAAACTGAAGGAATTTCCACCACCATATCCACCACCAGAATGAGCGTCAGAGAAGCTAAAGAACTGTCGGAACATTTGATTTGGATCAAATTCTGCAAATAATAAACATACAAAATATTGATTAGATAGTGAAAAAATGAGGGCAATGTCAATTTTCAGACTATAACTGAGCTTGAATTGCGTTTCACGGCTGCTTTTAGCAATTGTAAAGTACTCAAGATTACTGTCGAAGATTTAAGTGATCAAATCAAAAATCACATGATAACAATAGAACCAATTAAGCTCAGCTTGTTATAAAAATTTTACCTGGCATGTCCATATCCTCAAGATCTTGTCCATTGTCGTAGCGACTTCTTTTGGCAGGATCTGAAAGTATTGTGTATGCTTCACCAACCTCCTTGAACTTTTTCTCTTGATCTTTCTTTTCTTCGTCTGTAGCATTCGCATGTCTATCTGGATGATGTATGAGTGCACGTTCTATACGAAAAAAAAAAAAAAATAAGTTTTGTTTTATTTTGTAAACAGGCATCAAAATTTCGCCAAGTTATATAATTAGATTTTCAAGGCACACTTACTTCTATATGCTTTTTTGATTTCATCTTCTGTTGCTGATTTGGTGACACCGAGAATTTTATAATAATCCTTACGCTTACTCTTCTTTAATTGAAGCTTAGCATCTTTTAATGCATTCTTTGTTTCCATTGACTTGTCAAGTTTGAGTGCAGTTTCATAATCTTTAATCGATTCCTCGAACTTTTCCATGTCATAATAGCATCTAGCTCGTCTAAGCAGAGCCTTTACATATTTATCATTGATTTTAAGGGCATCTGTGCAATCACGAACAGCATCATTTAAATTTCCAAGCTAAAAATAAAGAAGTAATTGACTTAATTAGAGACACGAAAATTATGTAAATATGAATTACGCAAAAAATCGATCGATGTCTAAATATACATTATAAGAATGAATAATTGAGTGACGAAAGAATTATTGACATTTATAAAACTTTTACACACCTTCGTGTTGACAGTTGCTCGATTGAAGTACAATTTGCTGTTTATTTCTTTATGGAGCGGGTCAATACTAAGAGCTTCTGAGTAGATTGTAAGCGCCTCACGATATTTTCCGGTTTTGAAGCATTCATTTCCTTGCTCCTTCTTGTCCTTCAAAGTTCGAGACTTTGTTCTCATTAATTTTGCTTTTTTATGGTCTGGATCTAAGACAAGTGTTCTTTCAAAATGCATAATTCCCTTATCTAAATTATCGCTATAATAAAGTGTCAAACCGCGCACATAGATAGCGTCACAATTTGATGAATCAATTTTCATAATTCCAATGGCAATATCATTTGCTTCTTCCATCCTACCCAATAATGCAAGACATTCAGCTTTCAATAGCTTATATCGTTGACAAGCTTGAGCTATTTTTAGTGCCGAATCTAGATTAAAGAGACATGTACGATAATCCTGTCTATTATAGCACTGAAGCGCCTTGTCATCCAATGTCCTGAGTTGTTTAAGATTCTGTATTTCTGCCTTTAAAGCGGTATTTTTGGGATCAAGTTCAAGGAATCTCTTAATTGTTTGTTCAGTCTGTACGAGATCGCCAAGTAAAAGACAACATTTAGCAGCTCTCAAGTATCCTTTTTCGAATTTTGAGTCTAACTGGATGCTCTTCTTTGCGTCGTTAAGTGCTTCCTTGTAATTTGCTAACATCATATAGCAAGCACTACGGTTGCCAAGATACGCTGGATTCTCGGGACATAAAGAGACGGCATCAGAGTAATATTTCAATGCTGCATGATAATTTTGAGCCTTGTACTCTGCATTGCCCGTAGTCTTTCGTTCTTCGGCAATTCTAATGAATGAAAAAGTATGTAAATAAGGGTTAAAAATAGTCAGAGATATGAATATTGATGGATCTTTAATCCATAAAATTTCATACGTGAATTAACACAATAATCGAACAATAACTTTATAAACTTGAATTTATTATTATCTTACGTGTTATTCTCAATCATTCTGATGCTGTTTAGCTAGTGAATTATACTATTTAAAGGCAGAAACTTAGAATTATTATTGAGCAGAAAAAATGCGAAGAAAATTTCTTGTGCGCTTGTGTTAGTGACCTAATATACAAAGGGCATTTAAATGTGTCAAAGTTTTCCAGTTAAATCTGACTGATTCACTCAACTTTAGTTTAACTCTTGTTATTTAACTCAATACATATAGAGTTATTCACGTTATTTTCAGAAATTTCATTAAGTTAAGAGACATTATCGAAAAACCGTTAAATTCAAATTTGTGTTTACATTTTGACAAGCCCCACATTAAAAAAAGTTGATAGACCCGCTGATAGAAATTAAAAAATTTTCAATTTAAATTTCGTTAATTCTCGGTGAATTGCATAGATTTGATTAATTACATCCTGTGAATAGCATAGATAACAGCATAAAGCATCGATTGCAAATAAAGTAATAGTGAAGTGCCTCGAATAAAGCTATTAAAAGACGTTTTTTGATAATGCTAACATGGAGAAATTTTAAAATTGTGAGTGTCATTCTGTTTCATTCTTAATAATCCTTAATTATGCCTAGTTTCGTACATGTCATTAACATATTTAATAATATCAACAAAATAATTCTAAATTGAGTCTACATAACCTCATTGCATGATCCAGAAAACATAATCATAGAACAAAAAAGTTTATGGATCGAGGTTGAATTTTCCGCACATGAAATGTCATGAGAGCCGCCATGATGAATGTTAAGCAAAAACGTATGATAGACACAAGACATAGAATAAACGAAAAAAAAAGTTGCAATGAGCATAAATAAAAAGAATTTTTAAAAATTATCACATCTGTGCATCATAACATAACTCATACTCAACATACATCTTTTATGCTATTTTCAGACTATATTATTTGATATTGTATAACAACAAAAATTTAAAAGAAATAGAAGAAAAAGTCGTGTGAGAAAAAGACAAGACAAAACAGCACTAAGAGGTCATGGATGATCATAATTTTATGCTTTGGTCTGATCGTGGACACGAAGAGCCAAATTATGATGATATTATCGAAAATGATACAGAAATCGATGATTTAAATGAATTAATAGAAGAGCAAGTTGAGGGATATGAAGAAGTCAATATATTAGAAGATAATTCAAATGGAGACGATGATACTTATTATATCGACGAGGATATAATGCCAGAAAAGTATGATTCACAAGAAAACTTAATCTACCTCACAGATGATGGAATAATTAGTAAAAGTTCACAAATTGGTGTCGGTATGAGCCATTTAATTGAACAGAGAGTACAGGAAGCAGAATCTAAAATTATTGGCGATCAAGATGCACAAGAAGAATATACAGCAGAGGTAATAACAGAAGAAGATTGGATACAATCTCAGGGTGAAGAAATTGTGCCTGTTGCAATGGAACAAATTGTATCGTCTGAAAATTATCCAGAAGATGATGTTGTGCCATTACAAACAGACGAATATACAACACAACGACCATATCCATGTGACTTTTGTAGTCGTCGGTTTCGTAAAAAAGCCAATCTACAGAATCATATGATTGCACATCAAAATGTTCGTCCACATATGTGTAATTTGTGTGGATCACGTTATGTAAGGAAGTGTGATTTAATTAATCATTTGAAAATTCATGCATACAACATTGAAGATGAACAATTGGCTGGTCCAAGTACAAGTGGTAAAAAGAGACCACCAAAATACGATGATTTAGCATTCTTTAGTGAATCATATGATGATCTACCAGACGACGACGACGATTTCGATTACAATCATTACTCTAAACCAACAACAAAGCCATTGCCAAAAGTTACGAAACAAAGTTCAAAAGCATCAACAAGTAAAAAGTCTTCAGCTAAGAAAGGAAAAACATTTCCAACTAAATTCGAGAGGATCACAAAGGAAAAGCCAGTTCATGTCTCAAATTTTACAATAAGCAATACACCAAGCATTGTTAAAAAGGAAGATTATGTTGAGAAATATCCAATTATAGATCCAAGAAAGCCTTTTGTCTGTCAAAATTGTGGTGTAGGATTTACACGAGAAAAAGCATTAGAATCACACAGTAAACATGCTCATGCCAATTTGGATCCAACGCACGACTGTGAAATTTGTGGAGATTCCTTCTTTGACAGTACATCACTCGAAGAGCACTTGGAATTACGACATAATTATTCATCTAGAGTACGTAAAAGTGGTGGAAAGACAACAAGCGGTGGTAAAGTTTTTCCTAGTCGTGCAGCTCAAATGATGGATTTTGAGGATAGTGATAATTCCGAGTATGAGCCAGAAAAGGATTTAGACTATGACGAGGATTTCGAAGATGATGGTGATCATTGCTGCGATAAATGTGATATGGCATTTAAGAATGCTGAAGGTTTAAAGCGCCACATAAAGACACATTTTATAAAATCAGAAATTATGTCTGATGATGAAGGACCAGTCAAAACAGAATTAACTAATTTGGGTTGTAATGTTTGCGGAGAGAGCTTTACAGAAGCATTAGACTTATTAGCTCACGCAGAAATTCATGCTCGATTTCAGCCATTCAAATGTTTATTATGTGGTGAGACATTCTTTGAAGAGAACAAGATCAAAATGCATCTTATGGAAAATCATCGCGATGAAATGACTGAATCGTCATGTAAGCTATGCGGTAAGCAATGTCGTGATCAACGATCATTAATTAAGCATTCATGGGAACATTCACGTGAAAAGAATCATTCATGCTCAAAATGTGGAAAGACATTCCATAATAAGGCACGATTGAAACGTCATATTGCATCGCACAGGAACAAGAGTGTAGTTTGTGAAATCTGCCAAGAAGAATTCTCTGACGGTCGACAGCTCATGAATCATCGTCATTCTCATACCAAGTCTAATCAATTTCCATGTACTGAATGTGGCAAAACTTTTGGATCTAGAAGCTCACAACAAATTCATATTCGGTAAGTTTAACCAACATTTTGCTTATTTTCGTTGAAATTAATTGATTTATATATTATAGAATTCACACTGGTGAACGTCCTTATTCCTGTCGATTCTGTTGGAAGGCATTTGCTGATGGAGGAACTTTGAGAAAGCACGAACGAATTCATACAGGTTTTTATCCAACAATTTTTTACTTTTGCTATGCTTAATCTTCGGATTAATACTAAATCTCAAGATTAAAATTAAATCCCAAAATCAATTTAAATTTGGGTCAATTAGACTCAATAAGCATGTCTCGTGATAAGGAAAATTTATGACAATACTAAATGGAATCAATTTATGATTTTTGGCAATAAACTTTCTTATGGATATATTAATTAATAAGCCAACTGATAGTCATAAGCTGATGCACTTCTTTATCGCTCTTTATTCGTCGATATATTTATAGACAAAAGAAATGAAAAAAAAAAAAAAAAAAAATCATTTAAGACTCGTCGTATCGCATGAGCTACGCCTTAATATTCTGTATAAAAAAACTTTAATTAAATAATCTCATTTTTAGGTGAAAAACCTTACTGCTGCTTGGTATGTCCTCGTGCCTTCAATCAACGCGTTGTTTTACGCGAGCATATTCGATCACATCACTCAGCACCAGATCCTGTTCATGGAACAACTCTTACGCCATATTATTGCAGTCTTTGCGGTGAACTATTTGCAGTCTCATTGGATCTAATTCATCATTTAATTGAGCATAGCGATAGAAGTACGGCTGCTAAGCGTGTCCAACCGACGGGTCCAAGAAAGTATAAGCGACGTCGAAAGTTGAATGATGACGAGATGGTGCCAGTTGATGGAAAATATCCAAGAATTCCACAAAGTAAAATTAAGCAAGAACCAGCCGATATTGAGAGTAACAGTGAGAGTAGCAGTAGTCATAATCAAAGCATTTTTAATAACAATAATATGAAGGGGTTATTGACACAATCGTTTGAATCTTATGTAGTGCCTGATAGTATAATTGAATTTAAGCTTCCGGATGAAATATTCCAAACGGTTTCACGCGATCGAAAGAATGAAGAGAAGAAGCAACAACAAGTACAAACGAGTTCAAGACCGAAAATGATATTTACGGAGAAAACAAGAGTTCCTGTTTTTGACGGCAAGCGCAAGTCACGGACAATGATCCAAAAGCAAGTTCTAAAGCAACATCCCACCACATCAAGAATGGTCAGGACTATAAAGAAGGAAGTAAAGAATAAGCCGTCAATAATTCAAGAACGTTATGCGTATGACGATAAAAATACGTCTGGAAGTGAGACATGCTCGAATGAAGACGATCCGAATGAGGATGTACTTCGTACCTTACTCAAGCGCGAACGCAAGTTGTCTGAGAAATTTACAATTGATTTAGTTAATGATTTACAAGATATCCTACGATCACCAATCAAGACTAGTGTTGCTATGGACGAGGATGATAATCAATATACAGAATTACCAAATGCCCGACGTCGTAATACACTATCAAGATATTCAATAAGTATGACAAATAACAATGCAAATGGAGCCAAAAATGATAATAACTACGATAATGATGAGGATTCAGAATCGGAACTAGATAATATTGTTATTAAGCAAGAATATGTTAATGATGGTCATGTTTGTAACATTTGTGGCTCTGCCTTCTCGTCACGAGATCAGTTATTAGAACATGTATCAATTCATATTTAAGTTTTTTTTTTGAGGAACAAGCAGTTCCTTCATTATTAATATTACTTGTCATTCTCACATGACTACATAGTTTTTGCTTTGTGAAATAGAATTATGGAAATGAAAAGTCAATAACTATAAAATTTTTGTTACAAATTCCTTCTTTTTTTTTGTTGAGTAATTAAATAATCTTTTTTTTTCGAGGTGACTTAACTTAAAAGACCTAATTGAACTACTTCTACTTCTCTTTTTGTATGTTAATTAAGTTTGATAGCTATAAGACTAGATCCCATCTCCTTATATGAATTATGAATAATATGAAATTTTTTGAGTACCGTGAAAGAATCATGTAAGAAAAGTGAAAATATGAACTAAATAAATTGAAATTATTACTTTAAGTTGAAGTCGGGTACATATAATTTTTTGGTAGGAGGAAGTCAAATAAATTTTCAGGCATATAGAAATTGTTGGGTTTCTTGGTTATGGATATATTTCAAGTTCATGAAACTACAGTCAGTTAACCTTTCTTTTTCCACCCACACAGAATGAGCCTCAGACAATTGAGAAATGAGATGGAACAAGAAATGTTAATTTAATTTTGTCCATTTCTAATGCATGCATGAGTCACTTGATCGTGAGACATTTTAATGTAACGGTTTTGTGCAGAAATACGTCATATTTATAAAGTGATGAAATGTTATATTATAGAGATGGATAGACAAGCATAGAAATTTACTAATTGATTAATGACACGGTTGAGTGCTCAATTTGACCCGAATTGAGGATATACGTGACAAATTGGGTATCAAAATGATCTAGTATAGAACATAAAGACTTGTCTAATCGATAATTGTTCTAACCAGACTAACGTCACGTTAAAAATTGTCAGTTACAGAAGTTTTACCGATTTTTTTTAAATATTTTGAATCTTTTTTAACCGTTGGAAAAAAACTTTATTCAACATAATTCGAAGCTTTTAACTGTTTAGTTCTTTAAAATAAATAATCTTTGACATATTTTTAATGTTTTTGAACTGAAAATGCTTAAGTAAATGCAAGAATTGGTGATTTAAAAAATTTTCAGAACAAAAATATCAAAAGTAAACAAAAGTTGTAAATGTGTTAGTGAATTTTTTCACGAATTATAAATTTGTTAATTAATTGTTAATTGAAGCTCTTTTTTCTAATGTGAACTATTTAATAGTGATGAAACATAATTAAGATTATGTTAATTTAGTTAAATCATTGTTAAAAGAAGCTTAAATCATTGATTTTGATTTTAAATTTTTTGATTTGTTTACATTTTTCTTAACGGTCAATAAAAATTCAAATTTTCGTCTCAAATTTCGAAGTTTTCGACATTAATTTCGAAGACATTTCGAATTTTTTCGAATATAAGGTGGCGTAAGTCTGGTTCTAACCAACAAATGAGGAATTTGTAATGAACTCCTTCTGTTTTATATATTAATTAAGGTCCTACTCACGTCTTATTATCGGGTGAAATCATGTCGGAAGGATCCATAGAAATATCCATACTATTTTCTTCCTCGTCCTCTTTTACAATATTATCACTTTTTGACTGCGACTTGTCTTCGACAAGGATAATTTCTTTATGAGGGACTTCTGCTACTTTCATTGGTTCTTTAAGTAAGAGACTATCTGTTGTCTTCTCTGTTGCCATCTATACCTTTTTTTATTATTTTTTTTTTCGTTCGAACTTTCTTATTTTTATTCTTTGAAAGATATACAATCCAGGGTTGTCGTTAAGGTTGTTCTATATACTCATATATATTCTCGTATCTCGGAATGATTTCTGATGCCACTGTGGATGAAAATTCTGTCAAGTGCTGCTTTTTAAGGTTTAATTATTTTTTTCTGTTAAGTTTTCGTTATTTCATTCAAAAACTCAATTATTATTTTTTAATTCACCTCCTTGCTGCAAATCAAGTCACGACTTTTCGAAAATTTACCTTTATGCTTAATTATGCTCAATTCATGTAATTAAAGTGGTTAAATTGTTTTTTAATGAAATTTTGGTTAAATCTCTTTATAAATAACGGTTGAAATTAGAATTTGAACACTTGGTTTTCGTTGGAAAAGTAATCCTAGAAAAATTATGTTTATTGTTTGTTTGAGAACGTTTTAAACAGTTTGAAAGATTTATTTTATGTTAATTAATGAAAACATAACGATATATGATGAATAAAAGGCTTAATTGGTGATTTTCATTTCATAACGACACTTAATTTTTTGAATATATCTCTGAAGCAAACATTCCCCTGTAGTTGTTTTTCCCCTGCAAGCAAAGTTTACAAACTACAAAGTAAAATAATTAAAACAAGCAGTGAATAAAAATTAATTTGTGTTAATAATAGTGTTTATTAGGAGTACAAATGGTAAGGATCAGTTTGAGCATAAAGGAATTTACAATTTATTGCTATTTTTTTGAATAAGTTAATATTCAATATTTTCAAAGCACATGGCATTTTCATATAACTCCATCTTTCTCATTTTCATATATTTTAGGCTTTGTATGTCTTATACGAACATGCATCAGGCTATGCTTTGTTCAAAGTAAAAGAATTTGAAGATGTAGGAGTTTTAATTCCTCAAGTCGAGGAATCATACGCTGATGTCTCAAGATTTCAATCAATTGTAAACCTCGCTGGATTTTCTCCATTTAAAACAGCTATTGCTGCTCTTGAGAATGTTAATGCCATTTCTGAAGGAATTGTACCTGAAGATTTGTCAGTCTTCTTGGATACAACGTTACCAAAAGTAGCAAAGAAACAAAAGTTGACATTAGGTGTCGCTGATGCTAAATTAGGTGCAGCTATTGGAGAAGCACTAAGCATCCAATGTTCTCATATTGGAGCAGTTCCAGAAATCTTACGTGGTGTTCGCATGCATTTCCCAAATATGGTTAAAGGATTTACACCAAAAAGTGCAGCAGTCGCTCAACTCGGTTTGGGACATAGCTACTCTCGTGCAAAGGTCAAGTTTAATGTTCATCGTGCTGACAACATGATTATCCAGTCAATTGCTCTACTTGATCAATTAGACAAAGACATTAATACATTTTCGATGAGAATACGTGAGTGGTATTCTTATCACTTCCCAGAGTTGGTCAAAATTGTTCCCGACAATTATTTATATGCTAAAGTCGCTCATTATATCAAAGACCGCAGAAATTTAAATGAAGAAAGTGTCGCAGCATTAGAAGAAATTCTTATGGATTCTGGCAAAGCTACATCGATTATTGAAGCATCAAAAATGTCTATGGGTATGGACATTTCAGAAATTGACTTGATGAACATTGAAATGTTTGCTAAGCGCGTCGTTAACCTGTCAGAATATCGTAAACAACTTTCTGAATATCTTCACTCGAAAATGAACCAAGTCGCACCAAATCTTCAATCACTTATCGGTGATCAAGTCGGTGCACGCTTAATCTCTAAAGCAGGAAGTTTAACAAAGTAAGTTGACATTTTATTATAGCTTAATTATGTTGTTTATTTATAACTTTTGTTTTGCTTTAGTTTGGCAAAATATCCAGCATCAACAGTTCAAATCTTGGGAGCAGAAAAGGCACTTTTCAGGGCATTAAAGACTCGTAGTAATACACCAAAATACGGTTTACTTTTCCATTCATCATTCATCGCTAAAGCTGGTGCAAAGAATAAGGGACGAATTTCTAGATTCTTAGCTAATAAATGCTCAGTTGCATCCAGAATTGATTGCTTTACTGGTAAGTTTTGAATTTAAATACTTTTGTAAATCAACGGCTTTTTGAGGTTTGAATTTTTTGAAAACCGATTCAATCGGTTCATAAAATTTGAATAATTTTTTTTCGTTGCATTTTAAAATATTTTCTTACTTAATTTAAACTTGATTAATTCCACAGAAACTCCATCACATGTATTCGGTGACTTGTTGAAACAGCAAGTTGAAGATCGCTTGAAATTCTATGAAAGCGGAGATGCCCCACGTAAAAATATTGATGTTATGAAAGAAGCTATTGAGGTAAGATTTTCACTTTCATTGGCATTTTTCCTTAAACTATATAACATAACATTTTATGAATGTAGATCAACAACACTCAAACAGCAGAAAGTGCAAAGAAAAAGAAAAAGAAGAATAAGAAACGTAAGACAGAAGGTGATGAAAATGGAGCAAATGAAAGTCAGGTTGCTGATGATTCAAAAATGGATGTTTCTGAGAGTGTAGAGGAACCATCTAAGAAAAAGAAAAAGAAGTCAAATAAGAACGGCGATGCTGACAATACACAAAATGATTCACAATTGGTTGACGAGGAAGAACAGTCACCGAAAAAGAAAAAGAAAAGTAAAGATAATGGAAGTGCCAATGATTCACAGGACTTGAATGAAACGGCTGGTGATGAGCTTAATGGTGAAGGCAAAAAGAAGAAAAAGAAAAAGAAGAATCAGGAAATTGAAGTTTAGAGACAGTTTTTGGATATTTTTTTGACATATAATTTTCAAGATTAATGCATTTTATAAGCAGAAATAAAAATAACATTTAAGAATGTAAAACGATGATAAATCAAAAGAGTTACGATGAAATAAAATACACACATTAGAGAACTATTTTTAAATGAATTAATTCTTTTAACCGTTATTTCCAAAATTTGAAATTTTACAGCTAAACCGATTTGAAATCTGATGAAAAGTATTGAAAAATCAAAATTTAAGAATCCGCTTAAAATTCAAATAAATATTTTTTGATTTTAAAAAATATAACATTTTTTATTAAGAACTTCATTATGTAGTAATTACATGTTTCTTTCCATTTTTATACAATAATAGAATTTCCTATTAATTTTATGCTTCTTGCTTCCATAAACTAAGAATATACGGATAGTCATAATCGTAATAAAAAGATTATAGAACATAATTGGTATTGCTTTAAAATAATTGAAATTTAATTTTCACGTCAACTCAAAAAACAATTTTTATTCGCAAGGATGGCAAGTGATTTTTAGCACAACCATCAATCACTTTCTAGACTTGCAATTCATTCAATAAAAACCGAGACACAATCAATATTGACGTTAATGAAAAGGAAGGAAAGTTCTTAGACTAAATTCAGTTTTTTATATCATTTTTTTTTTATTTTATGTTGATTGCAGACAAATATTTTTATATATCCTAAAAAATTGTTACTTGATGATGTGATAGATGTTTTTTTTTTTGTTTTGGATTAGTAAGGACAATATGTTCCCAGCACCAAAAGGAATTCATTCATTTAAATTGTAATGTATTAATGCAATTTTATCGCTTTTTTTGTTTGTGTATAGAATTAAACTAGATAATTGCAAAAGGATTAAGTTAAGGAATGAAAAAATAGTCTAGTCCACAATTTAAGATTGAAGGTTATAGATACAAGGACTTATGACGAAGATACTGTCAAACAGTCGAATTCGAACACTGCACAGCTTTACAACTCAGAGCATCTATTTCTCTGATTTTTGATGGGGTTTGTTCACTAATGTTGTAGATTTTATAGTTTTCGGAACACTTGATGACACCAAATCTGAGTTGGAGCACATTTCGTGACAGACTTAGTCTAAAACTCGAACTTTTTTGTCAAACATCATTAATGAACCAACACACATTTTGTGATTTACATGACAATAGTAATAATAATAATTATTAAATTAATTAACATCCAATATAGAAAATATAAATTTGTTAAACAAATTCAATAAAAAAAATTAATTAATAATAATAAAGTGCAACTCAAAATTGAAAAAGAACAGAAGCTATAAAGACAGCTTGCACCATAATTTCTAATAATTCATAAATCAACCTTTGTAAAATTGCGCAATCATAAAGAAAAATTCATTGGGATCGAATTTAGAAATGGAATGCAAATAAAATAAAACTGAAAAAAACTTAATTTTTAAATACTGATCATAATATGAGCACAAAATCATAATTTTGGTAAGGAAGTGATGTATGAAATTATTTTTTTTTGAGAAAAGTTTACGTCAATAAACTTGTAAGTTTAATTTCATGACGTGTTGCTATAGTTTTGGATGTTTTAAATGATTTATCGCATGTCATACAACTTATTTTCTAAATTAACTAGGTATGTTTTTATCTAATTTAACGGCTTTTTGATTTTTTAAAAATAAAACTTAATAAAATACGTATGTATTTTGAAATTACGCACGATATTCGTTTACGTTAGTCAAAATACGTACGTTTTCGTACACACGCGAGCAAATTCAACAATATTAGTACGTAAGGATTAAAAGTATCAGTTTTTGTGTATGACAAACGATACGATTTAAAGGATTTCATGTCATGGAATGATAGTGTCTTCGATGTTGTACAGGTCAGAGGCATTTCCAAAAATTCGTAGATTTTTAATATTTCTTCAATTTTTTTTTTGTGATATGATTTTTATCTAGCATTCTCATTCTTCCTTTATCCTATCCCACAAAACTTTATTGTCCAAATTCAGACATTGACATTTAAATAGTCAGCAGAAAAAGGGATTACAAATTTATTGACGCAAAATTTCATCGGAATCTTTTCAGTCACTACGATTAATATTCTTTAATATCCTTAAAAACTTTTTTTTTCATATTTTTTTTGTCGTTTAAAAACTTTCACAATAATTGCATGATCCCCAATATACAATATTTTGCGCAGACAGCCACAAATTCTGTCTCAATTTAATTAAAAAGTATCCAATAAATTTTAAGTTCCTTTAATTTACCAAATATCATTGAAATGCGTTGAATTGATTGAAATTATTATTATTATTATTAGATTGATTGAAAGCAAAGTTTGAATTCATTGTTGGTGACATCACATTTGCTGATAATGGTGACTTTACAGGACTCGTATTTGCGCTTTTCATCTGATTCATGGACACCGATGGTCCTTTCATGTTCTTCTTTCCCATCAAATTATCTAAATCAATATTCACATTACTCCATGTTGATCCAACAACTGTTGGACGTTGTTGAGCAATGCTGTCATTGCTGGATGTTCCATTGTTGTTAGAATTGAATGATAATGGTGCTGATGGTTGTAATATATTGCCTACAAAGATACAAGAAAAAGTAATCATTAAGAAAATTATTGAAGCATATAGGAGTGTTAATTATGTAGGCAGTGACAAAAGTTTACAGTTATTATTTAACTTATTTTATTCAAGCTCATTTCACTTTTTGAGAAATTTCATAAAATTATCAAAAACTGCACGCTATGCGTGGCTGTTTCAGTTTCTATTTTATCAATTAGGTTGCATTTAATATTTTTGATTGATGTTAAGCTTACAATGCCTTGATTAATGTGTTTTCGGCTAATTAACAAATTGAATCAATATTTCCGTTACAAAAAAATTTGAATTTCGCTCACAAATTTTGAATTTAAATGCCCGTTACAAGCTTGACTTATTATTACAAACCACATATTTTTGAATTTTAAAATTTCCGTTAATTATTTTTTTAAATGAACCAAATTATGCAGTTTCTCCACTGTCACTATACAGTGCACCATAACACATTGACATTAATTGCTTAGCAAACTCTCTACATTCTTTATCAGGTTCATAATTAACAACAGAACTTCTAACAATCATGTCCAAATGATTCATAAATTCATTCAATTCAACACTAAATTCGCGTACGAGGACATTTTTCGGTACGGCAAGGATAATTGTTGAAAACATGTGCAGCACAGCAAGTCGTATTTGAGATTCATCATGATATCGTAAAAATACGCTCAGATTAACAATCTCTTTAGCCATTTTTGGCACAATTGTTGAATTTTCAGCACACAAAATTAGTATCGAGACAGTATTAAGGAATTTGACCAATAAAATGTTATCCATGTCATGCTTTAAAGCAGTTTTGGCCATAAATGGCATCTGTTGACGACCAAAGCCTTTAATTAGCGGAAAGAAGAAGTAGCCAGCAATATTTGAGAATTTATTTATTGCTGAATTTTCATCCAAACTTTTTGTTCTCGACGCAATTCGCCTTGTCTTGGACATGAGTCGTTCCTTAATAATCCTCTGTGCATCTCTTTTGTTTCGATTATCTAGTTCCTCTTGTAATTTAATTGTAAGCTTATTAAGACCATAATTTGTGGATGTATTTTTTGGCATCTCCTCCTTTTTTGGAAGTGACAGCTTTGAAAGTTGTTTTGCTGACTCACACAGTATATCCAACATTAACATTCTGGTTCTAAGAGAATATTTCGTTATGTCTGTATTAAACTCATTGCCTATATACTGAGCACATTCCTTTGGATGAATACAGCAAGTTTCGATTAAAATATTCATGCGAAGTTCTTCAAAATTCTCACAATAACAAGTCTTTTGCAGACTTATAAAAATCCTCAGTAAATCAACAGCAATGTCTACGTGATTACTTGGTAGCTGTTGCTTTATTATGTCCTGTGCCAAATTCATAATTGACTCAAATTTTTCGACACTTTCTTGTCCTTCCTTAGAGCTTAATGTCTGTATTATGTCAAGTATATATCTTGGCTGATTCTCGTTTCTGTTAAAGTCATCATCTTTATCGATATAAGTTGGAAGGTCGTCATCATCAGAATCGAGGTCTACAGCTGGCTTAATTTGAGGTTTTACTGTTATTTCCATTGGAATTTCCGAAATCTTAAAAACTTGTGGTTTTGAAAGAATTGGCAAACATCTCATTTCAGCTACAGCAATCAATTCATTCATCATCGTATCGATTTCAACGTCAATTGGTTCCTTTAAATCTTCTTTATTGACCTTACGTTGTGGAAAATGTCTTATGACGTCAACAATATCCTCTTTTATGTTCCGATCAAGCTCTCCGTACTCAAATTTTAATTTCTCCTCCTCTTTTATATCAAAATCAATAAAACCAATCACGACTTCTGATGTAATCATACCTAATGCACGCAATTTGGGATCTGTTGAGCTCAAGTGAATTTGTGCGCCATTAAATAAATGCTGTCGAATTTTATCGGCCATTTCTTTTGGATTTTGTAAGTAGCTAGTCATAAGAACAATGAACTTTGTTACGTAAAAATGCTGCTCGAACGATGTGTCATGGACATGTGACTTTGTGCCCCAAATAACGAGCATTTCCAAAAGAATTTCCTCTAATATTTTCATGTCTTCTGTGGCTATAAAGAACACGACATTTTCAATGAGTAAATCATTGCTTGTAAAGTTATAGAATGGAATTTTCTTTGTCAAAATGTAGTTCCAATCACTTAAGGACTTCCAAAAATCCCCAAAGAATTTTATTAATATGCCTTTGCGTTCCTCATATCCAAAAGTTTGCTGAACAATTATTTCAATAGCGCCTCTCTGTAAATATTTGACGATATCTTGTAGACTGTTTTGATAAAAAGCTTGTGCTGCTTGCGTTGACAAAATTTTTATTGCACAATTTATCGCTGTTGATGAGGATTTGAAGTTTACAAGCATTTTACTTATCAGCTTTGTCACAAAATTAAATTCATAAATTTTCATCTGCTCAATGCCATTAATATGTATCATTACATGGATAGACTTTAAGACATTTATCAATAAAATAGATGAGTAGACATCAATTTCAAATACTTGAGGAAATGATGATTTCATTCTATTGGCAATTTTATCTGGAATACTTATAAGCTGTTGAATGTAATGCTCAATTTTCATCCACTTCATGTGATCGAGCTCATTGTGTGATAATCTAATGATGCTGAATAATAAATAGCTCTCATCACGTAATAAATACTCTAATAGTCTGACCTTGAATTTCATGCACTTATCCATTGATTTTGCATTACATAGCACGTTCATAGTTTCCACAATAAAATCTACATTATTTGTTATTTGAATGAGCTTTAGAATCTCTTGTGGTATGTCCTCTAAATTATCACCGCATTTAAATAGCAATTCTGTCAACATTATTGGATACACTTCACTCGCATAATGCTCAAAAACACTTTCATTACAGGCCATTAAGTTTGTCATGTCTCTCGATGCACTTGGCAATATCTCATTTATCACTTTTAATTTCCTTAATACTGCCTCGAGCTGCTCCGTTGAGTTTATTTTCACATCAATACTTTGAAGATTGCTCATAAGATCAGCATGTGCTGTATTTAGACGATTGACTGAAAGAAGAGTAGAGAAATCCTCTCTGGACGTCTTTAACATATTGGAATAATTTTTTTTTACAGTTTAATTAATTATTGGCATGCACTTAATCATCTCGCACTGTTTACACGATTGGATTTAATCAAACAAAAAATTATCTATTAAGGTGTGCCATTATTTAAGCCATACTCCAAATTGGTCTATAATTTGCATTTAATGACACACCCTAATTAATATAATTTTTTTTATGTAGCATAAACTTACCTTGCGTTGTTGGATTGAGAGTAAGATCCCCAAAATCACTAAGTAGGTCTTTGTTAGACGTTGCTTGACTAGCCGTAAATGCACTAGTTAAAACACTATTTCCGAAAAGGTCAGCACTAAGAAGATTGTTGTTGCTTGAAATAGTTTGTGGCATTATTGTTGCTGATGCTACTGTTGGTTGCGGACTGCTGCTAAAGAGGAAATTATCATTGTCTAGTGGATTAGAAGCTGTTGATTGTTGTAATGACGCTGCTGCTTTACTTGAATCGAATGCGGACGAAAAGTCTGCAAAATCTGAATCAACAACTGGTTTGGCAGTAATAGTCGATGTTTTTATTGGTGCTTGTTGTGGCTCATTTCCAAAAGCAGACTCGAAATCACCAAAATCAGCAGATACCTTTGGTGCTACTGGTTCTTCAGCCCGTGGATCAAAATCGTCTGCAGCATCATTAAAAATATCCTCAATTATGCTTTTAGTCTTTGTTGTCGAAACATCACTAGTTCCGAATAAGTCTTCGTTGTGGGTGTTACGATGGGTCGGAGAATTTATACCCAAATCACTATTCTTGCCATAATTTGAAGCTGCACCCATATTGATTCCTTTCTTTGTCGTTCTCGCTGATGAAGCTGTCGTTCCTACTGTTTTCATGATACTAACAGGAGCTTTTACACTAATTGGCTTTTTATCGTCTGCTTTAAATGTTGGTGGTGTTGTTACGACATTTTCAACTACTGCTGATGCCGTAGCTGTCGCTATTGTAGGACTGCTCGATCTCTCCTTGTCACGATATCGTCTAGATTATTATTTTATTGTGAGACATAATTTAATTAATCAGAGAAAGTCATAAAAGAAATTTGCATACTCACTTTGCATTCTTATTTCCACTCGATTCAGTATCGGAATCGTCACCTCTCTCGTACTCATATTGGTAATCATACTCAGTTTGATCAGAATCTATATAGCATAAGTAGGATTAATTAATGATTTATATATATTTAAAATGTATAATAAGAATTAACTTACATCCTTTCTCTTCGTGGTTCTTTGAGGTATTAAAGCTTTCTCGATTACGGAAATCATCGAATGACTTCATTCCACCCATTGCATCGGAACTCATTCCAATGTATTTATCCTTATTTTTCTTTGCCTTCTTTCTCTCTTCTCGTAACCGATCATCGTCTTGTATAAATTCTATTAAATCACGCACTTTATGTCTTACATTTACTCCCTGATCCTTTCCATTATCATCGACGAATGTGTAGTTCTCCAATGACCTTAAATCATATATATGCTCTCTTGCAGATGTTACAACACGTTCGCTTCCATTTTTCACTAAGTAGCTTAGCAAAAGTGTAGCCTAGATATTGATATAGTGAATTATTTAAATTCAATTGACTATTACTGGATGTTTGCTGGATTATTTTTCAATGAAATTTACCTTATATGTACGTCTCCAGTTTGTCTTGTTGTCCTGTAACATTCGTCTCCAAAGCATACTCATGACTTCAGGAAAGTGTTCATAAGTGAAGGTCGCATGAGCTAGTTCTTGCATTAAAACTCCAGTTGGACCCCATGGATCATCATTTGTCGCTTCCCTCACTTTTCCTTCTATTTCTGTATAATTCATTACAACATTCGTTCTGTAAATGTTGTTAAAACATAATTATAAACATGTTAATGACAAGTAAAAATTGCTTAATTGTGGTATAATGAAGAGAATGCGTTCGAGGTCAATATGAACTGGATAATTCTATGACTTGATGTTTTGGAATTTTTATTATTTTGCAATTTTCTTGATTTTAACTTACACTTTATCAGCTATCTCGCGAACTTTCCACATGCTTATGAACTTATCCATGATGGGAAATGTAATTTTGCACTCGTACACTCGTTTTAACCAGCTAAATTAAATAAAATTAAATATGCCAACAAAATAAGCCTAGGTGTAAGATTTTTCTGTAATTTTCTCCCACCAGTATTTGAATATTAAGCACACGTTATACCTTTTTTATAGCAACTGTTGAAAAAATACGTTAATCATGTGTGGATATGTACAGCAACGTGTTGATTTAAAAGTTGATTGATCCAAATTTTGAAACGGTTTTGTTTACCGTAAAATTTTTGATTTGTGAAATATTTAAGAATTATGAATTTTGAAATTTAAATTTTCGTTTGATAGAACCGATTCAAAAAAATTATCAAAAAACTAGAATGCAATGCATGAAATTAGTTTAAATGTCAGCAATAAAATTCTCATTTGAATGTTTTTTTGCTAAAGTGCACCAATTAATTACTTAAAAGTAAAGGTTCATCAAGAATTATTCAATTTAAACTGTCAAAATATTTTTTGAAATTAGCAATTTTACCAGAAACTATTGATTAATGTTATTATTTGACTGTCTGATACAATTTGTAAGCAAAAAGCGTTTAAGTCACTTACACCGCTGAAAATCTTACTGTTGTGTAAACATAAACAAAAAGTAATATTTTAGAAATAATAATTTAATGAAATTTTCTAGTTTTTAAGGATATAATGATGTTAAGAATAGTCTCAAAAAGTTTGCTGTTGCATCGAGCATGCAGCCTAATATCGCACAAAGTCAGACACAATCATTTAAGTCGAATTTCATCAGTTCTGGGAAAAATGTCACATTTTCCTTCAGATCTCAGAAGTATATCCAATATAAATGAAGATGAGGATATAGACCAAGAAAATTTCTATCACATGTATCAACTTGCGAATAAATATCTGTCGCATGACATATCCAGTAAAGATAGATTAATGAAGAAAATTGACAATTTTAATGAGATCCAGCAAGTTGTGAAATGCATTGAGAATAAATTGGAACAGTTTAATAAGGACCACATAATACAACTGTTGTTACTTACTGGAAAACTGAGAGATAAACAGGAACTTACAATAATAAAGAATCTTGATAAATTTGTGGAGAAAATCGGCACAAAGATCAATGAAATGAATGACATTGAGTTAGGTATAACTTTATTGCATCTTCGACTATTAGGTTTCAACTCTAGACATCCAGTAATGCAGAAAGTCATCAATAGTCTAATGGACAGCATGAGTCAAAAGAAGAACGAATTCGATTCATTGGCCATGTCATTATTCACAGAAGCTATGTGTCTTGAACGGGATCTCTATTCTAAGCTCATTATGGTTGAAACACTGCCTGTAATCAACTCAAAATTGAATTACTGTAACGATGCATTAGAATTTTATCATCTCATCTCATGCCTTAATAATGTGCACCCAGTTTTATCGTCTGATTCTTTAAACAACTATAAAGACAAGATTGAAGAGTTTCTAGACAAAAACTTAATCACAAATGATCATGTACGGATCATCTTCAAGACAATTAATTTCCTGAACTTCCCACATTGGTCAACAGCAAATGCAAAGCTCATTCAGAAGTTCTTAATTCTTCTTGAAAAGTCTGTTCCGAATATGCAGCCAAAGGATTTATTCCAGACTAATCGAGCATTGTTCGTCCAATATGAGCCATCAATGTTGATTCCACTGCTTCGAGATCGTGCAAAGAAACTGTTGGAAGAGACTCAAGATGTCGAACTACTGCAGATTGCCTGCTTGTATTGTACACCTCAGGAAAGAATTAAATTTGTAGAGATGTTAAGAGGTGAGTAAAGTAGCTTAATAATCCACAATATATATGTTGTACGAGTGCCTTTTCAGACAAAGTATTAAAATATCAAACAACTCTCGGCCCAGGTTCCGATTCATTGGCATCATTTTTCAAAATTCTGCGCTTATTGAAAATTTCAGATACAGAATTGTGTGACTGCTTTTGGACTAAGATTGTCAATAAAATTTTCAGCCTTCCAGAACCAGAGTTGAGACATAGATTGCCAAAGTACTTTCATCGTTACATGAATTTTAACAATAATCTGGGTGGAACTTATCGTCACATTGAGTTTGAGAAGATTGTCTATGAATATTGTGTAGAGGAGATGAAAACTGGGTCTACATATATACCTAAAGAATTTTCAAAGTTTGCAAGCTTTGTTATTGCCTATTCTGATAGATATGAATGCATCCCTCCGTTTGTAATTGAGAAATTAATTATGATGCAGGAACAACTGAATATCATTGATTGTAAGCTAGTATCAAGAGGATTAGAAATATTACATGGATTCAGACCAAGAAGGCGTCTAAACAGAGACTTGCTTGATAATCAGATGGAAATTTTACAATACGTGCTTGACAGTTGCGCACAAAGACATCTTGAGACTGGAAATTTGTCAATTAAAGATATCAATGTTATTCTCTCATCTTATGTCAGACGTCGAGCACCTCGAGATTCCTCATTATTTTTTGAAATCATGGGATGGTACGATAATAAGAAGCTTGAACTAAATTCTAGAACAATTCGTGAAATTTGTCATTCACTTCAAGTCGCTAAGTTCTGCAACGATTCCGTTTGTGATCAATTCTTTAATTATGTTGTTGACAATAAGGATATTGTAACTGGCGAGACTGTTGAAAAGGTCAGTAACCTATTAAAGATAAGTTTTTAAGTAAGTCACTAGATTATTATAATTTCCTTAGATTCTCACAACATGCTACAATTTAAGCTACTTTCCTGAAAATCCTGAAGCTCTTGATACATGCAGCGATATAATCCATCGGGATTTTAATGTAATGAGTGGACTCTCAGTCGTTCAGGCATTATTAGCTCTGACATTTTACAAAAGTGCCCGTGCTGAATTAATTTCACTAGTTTTTAATGGTGATTTTATCAAACGACTAGAGCAAGAAGTTCAAATGGCATATTCAAGAGATACTTATCCTCAAAAAGTCATGTCACTTGTGATGCAACTTAATAGAGCTGTTTGTTTGGATCATCCAGAATATAATATCAGGTACGTGAGCTTATTATCCCTCAAAAACATTACAGATTAACTTATAATTTAAATTTAGATGGTTCCAACAAAGCTTCATTGAAGCCCAAATGTCAAAGAAACCGGTAATTAAAAATAAGTTCCACGAAGAAGTGCATAGACTGTTACTTCACATTGTTCCTAGTCGCGACTACTTAGCTGTTAATCAGATTACTCCGTACGGATATAGAATAGATTTTGAGATTCATATAGACAAGAATTATAACAAATTTTTAAAACCTAATCCAGATGATTATATTGGCATTAACTATAAGCCTAAAGTACATAAGGTGGCAATATTGTTGCTCTCATTTGATACATTCTGTATTAATGATATAAATCGATTAAGAGGAACAGAATTGTTAAGAATGAGGCATTTAGAAATGATGAATTATAAAGTGATTCATGTCAAGAAGAGTGACTTAAAAATGCTGTATGAAAATGTGACAGCCAAAATTAAACACTTGAAGAAGCTCCTTCAAATTGGATAGTAAAAAAAGATGTCTTTTTATTCATCGATTATAGGAATTGTATAAAAATTTGTGTGGCACATATTAAAGTTATTTTTCACAGCACCAAGTATATGCTTCGTTGAACATTGACTGCCAAGGACAAGTTTGTGTATTAAAATCAGGAGAAATGTAAGGCCATTGGAACATTTCAACGCATCTTTCAGGATGAGGCATCATGGCTAAATGACGACCATCTTTCGAGCAAATTGCTGCAATTCCTTCAATACTTCCATTTGGATTCATTGGATATTTTTCAGTTGGCTGATTGTTGTCATCAACATAATACATGGCAATGGAATTTGATGATTTAAGATTCTTAAGAACTGCTTGATTCTTAAATGAAAATCTTCCTTCCCCATGAGCAACCCAACATCCAAGAACACTTCCTTGCATTTTTCTCAGCATCATTGCATTACTGGATCCAATTTTCAATGAATTCCAACGACATTCAAATCTTCCAGATTTATTATGAAGCAGTGCGATTGGTGGAACTCCGTCATCTGTAGATTCCTTAGCACTGTCATCAACCCATCCAATCATACTCATCAATTGACATCCATTGCATACACCGAGTGAGAAAGTATCAGTCCGCTTCTTAAAGTTCTCAAATTGGGACTTAAGAACATCATTGAATCTTATGCTTGCTGCCCATCCTTTAGCTGATCCCAGTGTGTCAGCATAACTGAATCCTCCTGGGAAAATAACTCCTCGATACTGAAAAAATTAGAGCTATTAAATACACAGGATTTAAAGACACAATTACAAGAACTTACATTGTCCAAGAAAGCTTTACGTGACATCAAGTCACTCATCGTCACATCGTGAACTTCGAAATTAGATTTAATTAAAGCAGCAATCATCTCTCGGTCACCATTAACACCTTCTTCGCGAACAACAGCTACACGCCATTGATTAGAAGGAGTTTGAAGTAAGTTGACAGCATCAGGATTGAATGTCAGCATATATTTTGGACCTTTTCTGGTGTCAAATGATTGATACTCTTCTTCAGCACATTCTGGATTCATTTGCAGTTTTTCAAGCTCATAACTAGTCCTTTCCCATTTCTTAATCGCTTCCAATATCGACATGTCAATTAAAGTTGTAGAATTTGATGATATTTTGATCTTAGACTGCATTCCATAGCCAGTTGATTTTCCGATGTGCAGTGCATTAACTTTGTTAAGCTTGAATTCTTCTAAGATGCCTTGAAGATTGTCGCTGTTGCATTCCAAAACCCATCCACACTCTTCAGCAAAGAGTAGCCTTAAAACATTCTCAACTGACGATTCTTCTAGTCCAAAGGTTTTAAGAGCACTTCCAAGATTGACATCAACTCCACATAATCCAGAAATAGCCATTTCTGTCAAGCAAACAATTAGTCCACCATCACTAATGTCATGTCCAGCTAGTAGAACTTTTCTTTCCAATAACTTTTGGGTGACATTGAATGCCTTCTTTAAAGTATCAACATTTTCTAGATCTGGGCAATCATTACCTTGTTGTTTTAATGATTGTGCTAAGGCTGATGCTCCCAATCTAAACTTTCCTTCAATATTGACCCAGATCAGTTCACCAGACTTTCCAAATGATGGTGCCTTTAAATCTGGAGTGATTCTGACTGTTACATCTTCACATGGAGCATATGTGGATATTACTAATGTTCCTGGTGACTTCACAGTCTCACTATTAATTCTTGCTGCCATTGACAATGAATCCTTTCCACCGTCAACTGCTATATTCAACTTTTCCATCATACTGCACATTGATTTACAAGCATCATACATTTTAGCACCTTCACCTGGCAATTTAGCTGCCCACATCCAATTTCCAGAACATTTTATATCAGCAAGTTCTGTGATTTTCACAAAAACAAGATTGGAAATAGCTTCAGCTACTGACATTCGAGCTCCTGAATCAGCATTAATCAGTCCTTTAATTGGCTGAGTTCCAATTGATGTTGCAATTCCTTTCTTTTCGAAATGTGATACCAATGTTAATGCATAGTCAGCCAGAGGTGTATGTAATGGTCCAACACATTGTTGCTGAACAATCAATCCAGTGACACAACGATCAACTTTGTTTGTTAAGAAGCGTTTACTTCCAACAGACAAGATACTTAAAACTCGATCTAAATAGTTTTGGAAATGATCGGTATCTTCAGAAAGCTTTAGCGGTGAAAATGTCTTCTTCGGTCTTTTCAAATCGTAGACCTTTCTTGGCATCTCACCAAGAACATCCTTGAGATTCATGTCGAATGGAATATCTTTAGGAATATTCTCACGATCCATATATTTATTGAAATCAGCCTCATTCTCAATTAGTGTCACATTCCCATTGCCTGTAACAACTCCTACAAAGTTGATTGGACATCTTTCACGTTCACAAATAGCTTCAAGTAAGCTTCTGCTTTCAGGCTTGCATAGAATCGCATTATTTTCTTGATATTCAGCACCCCATAGTTCTAAAGCATTAATTGTTGGATCACCAAGTTGGAATTCCTTTGAGAAAATCAATGCACCTGCATAGCCCGGCTCAACAAGTTCCTTTAAGACATTTCCATTTCCACCTGCACCTTGATCATGAATAGCTAGAATTGGATTCTGATCACCCATTTCAATGCATGACCTTACAACTCGATTAAGCTTATTCTCCATTTCAGCATCTCCACGCTGAACAGCATTAAAGTCTAATTCACATTTATTGTCGCCTTGCACTTCAACTGAACTTGCAGCACCTCCACCGACTCCAATTCTGTAAACTGGTCCACCAATCTTTGCAAGCAACATTCCCTTTTCTGGATTTATCTTCTGTGTCTGAGTCGAATCCATGGTACCTAAACCACCACTGAACATTATTGACTTGACATATTCATCACGTTCATTTTGTGCATTAATCACACCATAAGATATTGCAAATCCTGTAAGGACAGGTTCACCAAATTTATTACCATAATCGGAAGCGCCATTACTAGCTTCAATAATGATTTTTAATGGACTTGCAAATGATGGAGGATATTGAAGGTTGTCATCTTCATAAGGCATATGATAATCAGGAATGTTAAGAATTCCAACACAATATCCAGCTGTTCCAGCAATAGTATGTCCACCTCGTCCTACGCCTTGTACATCACGAATTCTACCGCCAGTTCCAGTTGTAGCACCGGGAAATGGAGCGACAGTTGTTGGCATATTGTGAGTTTCAGCTGTAAAGATCAAGTCTAATTCAGTTTCGGAGACTTCCATCTTGCCAGGCTCAGTAAAAGTCGTTGGATGAAGAGTTTTGCATTTAAATCCATTTATGGCACTGCTGTTATCACTAAACTTTATAGTATTATTTTGATTTGAATGATTTTGAGTTTCTATTATCATTTTAATGAGTGACTTCTCTTCCTCCTTTCCATCGATTATCATGCGACCTTTAAAGAACCAGTGCCTCGAATGTTCTGAATTCGACTGAGCTAAATCAAATAGTTCCACGCTTGTTGGATCGCGCTTTAAAATGTTTGTGAATAAGTCAGTATAATAATCAAGATCCCAGTTGTCAAAAGCAAGTCCCATTTTTGAATTTACTTCTTGCAATGCTTGACGTCCTTGCTTTAAAACTGGGACATAAAACCATGATTCTTTTTCTTTAGGCAGTCTTTCATTAAATGAATTTTTAGGAATGTTTTCGTCAGTATAGCGACATTCAGTCATTCGATCACTTAAGTGATCAACAATAACAGCTTCTTCGTCGTTTGAGAAACTTTTGGAACTTCCATTTAAATTTATTAAGTATCGAATTGATGTCTCAATTCTTATGATAAAGTCCAAATGTATAGAACGACAAATACTGACGGAATTTGTCGAATCAGCTGTTGAGAAATTAAATCTAGGTCCAATTTCAATCAAGCATTCATGTTCACTTGACGATACATTTAATGACGGCTGATTAGTAAGATTATCATTCTCCTGTGTATTTTTCAAGATCCATCGTAGCTTATTTTCATCCTCTTTCGATAACGTATGTCCCTCAATCAGTTCAACATGAAAACATCTCTCTGTTTTGATATTATTGATGTTTTCGTGTAGCTGCAAATAGATTCATGAGGAAATAGATTAGCAATCAATTGACGCATCTTATTGTTTTTCTAGACACAAGTGCATGACTTTAATGATAAATGAGGACAGATTCATTCATGCTTAAATGAACTTTCATATTTTGATGCCCACATGATGTCTATTAAATGATGTTAATCTATGACAGCTAGTGATTTTAGTTACCTTTTGAAGATCCTTTAATATTGTCTTGACTTTAGAATCGTCAAGAGCGTTGATTAAATAAAAACGTCTGATCGGCATGGTTAACTCGACTTACTGATAAAGTTTACAAAAGTGAACATTTCTAGTTTATATTAAGGGGGTAGGACATGCTTGGTACTATACACAAAAGTTTCCAAAATTGTCAACGGTTTTTTAAAATTTGAATTTTGTAGAAATTTATCACGTGGCTTTGTTTGTAAACAAAAAATAATTCGAAATAATAATATGGAAGTTGAAAATATTGAATTAGAGGAGGAAATAAAAAAGAGAGAAAGGTAAATCTAGTTAATTATATTAATATCAATGACACTAAAGACATTCCAATTGATACAGGTTCGGATCATGTGAAGTTTGTGACCAAAATCAATCAAAATACACTTGTCCAAAATGTGAGCTTCATACTTGCTCATTAAATTGCTCCAAAATCCACAAAAAGGAACTAGAATGTGATGGAATCAGAGATAAAACTAAGTACATACCTGTGAAGAAGATGACACCGATGGATTTCATGAATGACTACTATTTTCTGGAAGAAGCTACAAGATTCACAAAAGTAAATTTACTGGATCTTTTCTAGACATCATATTAATGATTTTCAATTAACTTTCCAGGAGATCAAAACTAATTGGAAGGTGAAAAGTACAAAGAAACTTAGCAACAAGTTTATAAAACTGAAAAAAGCTGCACAACAACGGAATATCAAATTGTTTTTACTTAATTCATCGCTAAACAAAAGAAAGAAGAACTTTTCATTTTATGATCCAAAAGCAGACTCAATTGTATGGCATGTAGAGCTTAATTTCTCAAATGCAGACTTCAAAACTCGCATTAAAGTCAACGAAAATACCAAAGTTGTCGATTCAATTCAATCAATAATCGATAAAGTCGAGAATAAGCAGCTTGAATTTTATAAGGCAAAAGGTATGTCAAAACTTAAAGTTCTGCTTAAAGCTGAAGGATTAAAGAGGAATCAAAATCGTTATTTTGACCTTAACATCAACAAGTCTTTCAAATCAAACTTGAGTGGAAAAGTTGTTATTGAATATCCATCAATTTCTGTCATAATGGATCATTGCACTGATGGATATGAATTAATTATGAGTGACGGTAAGAAAACATTGTTAATTGGACTGTATTTGAACTTGAAATTGATATTTGATTATTACAGATGAGACAATCCAAGCTGAGCAAAAGGAATTCGTTAAAACTTTACAGGAAGAAGTTTTTACTAGAAAAGTCGGAGATAATCCAATGTTCATAGTAAAACCCGAGGAAGTTCCAATCTTTGCTGATGTTTTGAATGATGATAAGGAAGTTAAAAATACAGGCAATTCCCAACAAAGTCCAACCAAATTAGCTGTAGTAAAAGATACAGATGTAAAAGTTGACGATGACGAGGAAATTTCGCCGCAAAATTACTTTTTCTAGCAGTTAAGTCGATTTCTGTAATGATAAGGAAATCTCGATAGTATCAAGCGATAAACCTAGTTTTTGATCACAAATCAATACTCAAAATCTAGACTGAACACCTGTGTCATTGTCGAAAAAATAACAACAACCTTGCCCGACTCGAGTATTAATCATTAAAATTTTAATCTGATAAATAGAAAACATACAAAATAAATTACATTTGGTTCACAAGATGTTAGTCATTTCCATTAATATTAGGAAAAAATGCTTACTGCGTCGCTGCCTAGCTTTGATATGAGCATGTCTCTATATTGAAAGTTTTTTTGTAGCACGACAGACAAAATTGACGTTAATGTTAAAACACATAGTGATAAAACTATTATAACAATTAAAAATATCTTTTCTCTCAAATTCCATCGCTCCCAAGGCCAATTCCAACTCCAATATTGTTCTACAAAAAATTTAAAAGTATTAAGAAAGATGTGATATATGAGTAGGTCATTTATATTACCTCTAACGACGACTCTAAAAGAATGCGGGAGAGAGAAAAAGAAAGAATGACTCATTAAAATAATTTTTGGACATATCACGAGTAATCTTATCAGCTTAATGTAAAAAGTTTATGATTCGTAAACAAAAAATATGTGGAACTGCTTAATTAACACAGTTTTTCAATTACTGGATGTTCATTTTTACATGATTGCTTCCTTAAAGGAATTGCGTCACTTAAAAGTTGCAATGCTGTATGAAATGTTGAGTGTGGATTTCCAAAAGTCTATTTTTAAACATAGCTAGTATATTTTAGTCAGCAGAATCAGTGAATTAAGCAAATAGCAAATCACGCTGATAAAATATTCCACAAACTGCAGAGCCCATAATAACAATTAAATCACTGATAAATCAAATGACGTTCATATTCAGGATGGCTTTTTTGGGTCTGGATCCGACTAAGCCTGGTCAGTTCTACTGGTCGGTATACTTAGAGGTCAGATACACAGTTATTTTTTAAAAAAATATGTCAAAGTACGTCCATGTCCATCAATTTACACTTACGATACACTAAAACTATTCTAAACGAACTCACGTAGAGCAACTTTCTGTCTTTTCCATCCTAATAATCACAGCAAAAAAATACTATTAGCACTGACTAAGGTCTTTTAACATCTGAAACGTGCGCGGTATTATTTTTTTTTTTTTCAATAGACATTGGCATACAATGTTGGTGAGGATTATTGAAATTAAGTGATAACAGAGTTCCTCCAAGTCCCATGCATGATAAAATTGAATATTTGTTGTTCTGTTCAACTTACTGATTGCGTCCGTGCGACTGTACATTTGAATTGCTATGGTGATGATGGATGTGAATGTGGTCATTATTACTGTTATTATTAATTTCCGATGAACTGCCAGTATAAGCTAAATTTACTTTTCCATTATTCTGCTGCTCAAAATTTGATGTTGTCGAATGAAAACTATCTGTTGGCGATGCCATTTGTTGTGGCTTTAAGTCACTAATGTTTTGATTATGATAGACAATCCCTTGAGTGTTTTGTGGTGTTGCTGGAACTGTTGTAATTATTATTGAATTTCCAGCTGTTGTAGTTGTTGTCGTGAATGACACTGAATTAAAATTGGCAGGCTGTGTTGCATGAATTGTGTTTGGTTGCTGTTGCACTTCACCATTTGGCGATGTTGTTGTAACGGAAGACCAAAAGCTTTTAACGAAATTCATTCTGTTTTTCTTTCCTTACCCCAACCGCAATGTAGTTGTCTTCCTTATTGTCGGATTTAAAATAAAGTAATTATGTTCGGTTCTCTGTTTGTGTTTTTTCTTACTCTAAGTTTTTTTCGGCTATTTCTCGTGATACTCTCTTTACGCTCACTTTATCAGCACTCAGTTCATTTAACTGTAATTGATAAGGAATAACTTCTTTTAAAAATATTTTAATGTAAGGCACATGTGGTGCGCTTAAAATGCTCTTGATACTTTAATTACTTCTTATTTATCGATTATTGATTGGTTGTTGAGTGGAAATATTCATGTGATTCCCGGACGTAAAGTTTGTTTATATTTTGCTTCTATTTTTTAAGGGCAGTGCTACTCAATCTATGCTCTGTGATACTTCAAATGTGTGACAAAACACAAGACAATTGGTTAAGTATGTCGTTCACAAAATAGTTTGAGCAGCACTGTTCTAGGTACCACATCAAGTGCTACGTATTTGAATGCTTTATCACATGAGGAAAAGTGGATATAGTCATATGAACTCACTTCAGAATTCCCAAGAGTTCTGTACTTTAAGGAATTAAGAGTATCATAAATCATGAATTGGACAGAGAATTCAATATTTTCATGGTTATTGAGTTTGAGTAAATTTAATTAATTTTTGTGGATTCTCGACTTTCAATATTGAGTCACGTTCTGCTCATAAATTCATCACATTATTACACAATCGTGGGTGGTGAGAAAATTAAAATAAGTTGGTGGGAATAAGCAAGAGAAAGTTTTTCTAGGTACACAAAATATTCATACATTGTTGCCTCTTAATTTGTATGGTTTAAAAACTTTAACTTTGTTTTTCCGTAGTCAGACACTTGATAGTAGAACATTAATTAGGATTCAAGGTGTGCAGATTAATGCAAGAATGTTTTTTGGGAATTAAACAGTTCCTCTTGATGGAAATCATTAATTTGCCATGTTCAAAAATGAAATCAAATTTTTTAAATGGATATATGTAAATCAAGAGTGAAAGTAGGAATAAAAGATTATTTCCCTGATCCTTCCCCAAACTCCTAAACAGGGTTGCGATACAGGCACCTGAGCACAGGTGAGAACCGTATAATTTCTTGATAATTTGTAAGGTTTTTCTTACAAAACCATGCAAATTCTAATGAAACCTCATAAATGATCAAGGAATTGTACGGTTCTCACCTGTGCACAGGTGCCTGTATCGCAACCCTGCTCCTAAATACACGAGATCCCATACGATTAAAATAGATTCGATAAGTAAATGCATGTTAAGGAACTCAACAAAAGACCTTTTTCATGAAAAACTCATAAATTTGTTATGAATTTACTATTTTGGTCTGAAAATCCACACGATTTGGTTATTTTTGGAAAGGTTTGCTGTCAGTTCAATGTCCCTACGATGAGCAACAAACTCGAGTTTAAAAAACGTCGCAATGACATAGAGCTGCCAAGATTTAGCAGTGACCGTTGGCGTACCTTAAGAACTTTGATTAATTCATATAAGTTGACACAAAACTGAAAATCAGCACAAGATCCTCTTTAAAAAAATCTATTTTTGTACAATCGATTGTAAAACAGGCGCACTTCTTTTTTTCACGTTTGGCACATGAATGTAATGGAAGTAATAAAAAGAATTGAAAACGACACAAAATGTTATCTACAGCTATACATAGATTCAAAGATATGAGCACATGTGTATTGTATCTGTGATAACAGCAATACCTTTTGTTTGTGTAACTTTATGTTTCACAGTACAGCAAGTACTTTTTTTTTAAATAAAATGTTTTTCGAATGTCGCTACCTCAGGAGAATCCCAAGTTTTAAGTGCCTTGATGTTGTTAAATGCCTATAAGTACAGAACATTAACATTAAGCACGTGAACAATAAAAAAAAACAAGCTTTGTGAAATTTTTCTTACTTTCCATTTCGCTGATTCTAGTCAGTTCAGCTATAAATGCTGTTTAAATCCTCGGAAAATTTATATGCTTGGGCAAAATTGGCGATTCTATTAATATAAAAAATTGTAATTAAATTTCCACGAACTGATCGAAGGCACTGCGTAGCTATAAATGACTTAAAAAATAAACAAAGCTGGTGAAATACAGAGGAAGCTCGTTCTCATGATAAGCGATAATTAATTTACAGTAATACTATTGCTAAATATACAATAAACTGAGATATCATATGCCTAACAATTGATAAAGTTTTTATATTCAGCACGAAAAAAAAACTTCGGCTATAATATTTTATTACATCCATTGCCAATTTTCTTTTTTTGCGACTTGAATTAATACAATGTGATAGCGTGTAAATAATAATATGAAGCACAAATACATATGGATAAGTTATGAGCCATTCAGATACTTTGTCAATTCAATTTTGATGATCAAGAACAAGAAGTGCGATAAAACAGACATTTACTAGCTATACAGTATAAAAGTTTTGCTTTAAGTAAGCAATTGGAAATCGAAAAACTATCTCGAGTGGCAATAAAACACACCTCTTCTTATCACATTCAATTCGATTTCGAGGTCAGAAGTCTTGTCTGAAAACAATTAATTTTTGGGTTTGGATAATAAAACAAAATCATCAGAAAAAAGGATTGATGGAAGGAACTAAGGGAAAATGTCTAAGTTGAAGCTGAATATAGGCGCATTTTATGTATTCATAGAGTGTTCTATGGAGTCTAGTGACTCATGTGATCTAAAAGCAACCATATGTAATTCTTACTTATTCCAAAAGAACTCTAAAACCCTGACCGTTCTTAGATTTTAGCCTAGAACCCTATCTTAGGGAGAAAGAGCTCCTTTCGAGATTAACATCGGTCAGGGATGGCTTAGCAGGCTTCTATTCCATTCAGCTCTACTTCCCTTGATCTTAACCTCCTTTAAGCAATTCCCAATAAATTGTTCTCATATTAAACAATAAAATAACCAGACTGCCAAAGCTTGTTCATCAGCATCCTAGAAATTATACCAAAATTCATCAAAAAGCAATCAAATAAGAATTATAACTAGTGTATCAGGTAGAAACCCAATGCGGATTATATTCACACCGTACTATCATAAGTCTTATGGATAGACCAAGATTTGCCCATCATAAGTATGAAGGTATGAAGCTTGATAAGTCAACTAAGCTTCGCTCAGCATAAGTTTGAAGTTATAAAGCTATCGCGTAAGCTGAGCTACGCTCAGCATAAGTTTGAAGATATATGTAAAGCTATCGAGTCAGCTGAGCTATGCTCAGCATAAGTTTGAAGGTATAAAGCTTGAGGAATATGCCAAATATTCTTTAAAAGTTTTTTAAAAAATTTTTTTATCCAAAGTTGAATTTTATAAAAATCACAGTCAACTTTTGTTTTAAAAAATTCGTAAGAAAGGAAAGTTTTTTGCTTTTTCTGAAGCAACGGCTGTTCCTACCTTGCCCAAAAACAATACAGCTCTTCTATAGAGCAGCACGGATCAAATGTAAAAAACTAGAAGTCTCTACGATGTCTCGTTATTGAGATTTCTTGCTGATTAACTTGCTTGTTTGCTTGTTTGCTTGCTTACAGAAAGCATATTTTGCGATTTTCTCAGCAATGCCGCAACCAATTTGAAATCTGTTTTTTGCAAAAGATGTGAAATTCAACACATTGAACATTTTAAGCTATCTTGCTCCATATCCTCACAAAATTCTAAAAACTGATTTTTCAATCTGAATAGATTCACACGTGAAAACGGTGTGAATATAAAAAAGCTTCGAACCATTAAAGGTGACTGAAGAATTGTGACGGATAATTAAATTCAAACGACTGATATAAAAAATATATATACCCAAAGATGTGGACATCAATATATCCCATGACTGAATCGATCTTGGTCAGCAAATAGATTTTTCATTCGAAGCATGAAGCATTCCATTAAAACTGATTGTTTTTCATGTGATGCAATTTCTATTATGCAGACGGTGGCTCATTCAAAACATCATTTAAAATATGAGATCATGTCCAAGGGGATAAAACCTTTTAAAAGACAGCATCGCATAAAAAGAAATTATGATGAGCATTCATCATAACAAAAGAGAAAATTAGACGTGTTTTATGACATTATTTATGTTCATGCTTTAAACACTTGCAGGAACTAGGTATTTACACACGCATGAGTATTATTATCATGACCATTTCATGACGGTTGATAGTAAAAGCGTGCAATTCTCATTATGCAGTAAAATAAATTGTGAAAGATGGAAAGAAAAGAGTGATGAGGATGGCATGTGCAAAAAAATGGTCATTTGGACATAAACTACTCTACTTTTCCGACACTCAGAGCAGCATAAATCACAATGTTGTGTATATAGGCATATAAAGATGAGGATATGGGAAGTAGGCAAAGGAGTTTGAGGGAAAGCTTTCGATATTATGGCAAATGACCAAAGAGAGTGTGAGAATGAGAGTGAAATAAAGTAGCAAGTAGCCACATAATATAGCATAAAATATGGGTTGGTAGAATTTATGCTTTCAGATCAATTTAAAATAATATAAATGACTGAAATTTTATGGTTTTTAACGGCACATGAGAGCTGCGTATCACAAGCTATTTTTTATGGTTAAAAGCCAACGACTGCAAACAAAGAAAACTTCAGTTTGATTCGAAAAATTCAAACTGAAATTCGAAAAATTTCGAACTGTTTCGAACTATTGAATTTTTTAAAAAAATAAATGATCGTTGGGGAATTAATAAAAATATATTTATTCTAGTTATTTTTTGAAGCAAAATTATTCCTTTTATGTACCAATCGACTTTGAAATTGTAATTTTACTCTAAATTCAACAAAAACTTTTAATAATTTATCAATTGTATCTTGACAATGTTCAAAATCGACTTCAATTTGTGCAATTACTGTATTAATGAATTTCTGGTTAAAGGAAGGATCAGAACATAAGATAAAACAATTAAGCTGTCTATAAATAAATTCAAGAATACACAAGAAATATTTTTTTTCACAGCAATATTCAATATTATGCAATTTAAGAAATTCAATCCACTTATCTTTATGCACAGAGCTTTTTGGAAGTTCAAACAGAGGAATTTTATTGGGTTTCTTTCCTTTACAACCAGTAATTACACAATTTCTGACTATTTTAAAAAAATGAAATTTTATAAATTCAATAAAAACTAAGAAATGTAAACAAATATTTTCAACGGAAATTTTAAATTCAAATCAAGTTCGAAAATGAAGTACCTATTTCCGAAAATGAGTTCTTGTTTGCAGTCGTTGGGTTAAAAGTTTTATTTTCCTTTAGCCTGTGTTTCTGTAAGTACATTACGTGCTTTTATTCAATTTGGGTCTGTGGTTGACAGAGTAATTAATTGGGGATTGTTCTTAAATGATGACTGAGTCATAAGAGGGGTTCAATAGAGCATGGGCCAAGTTTTATCGAAAAGTTGATAAAAATAATCCATGAACTCCTCTTCTACTAAGAGATCGTACCTAAAACTATAATATGTATCAAGCTAACCCCTTCCCCTCACCCACGTTCATACTAAGACACAGATATCTGCTTAACAACCCTAATTATGTACGATTAGTACAAATCTTAAAACACTCTATCCCATTTATGATACTCAATGTCCAAACTCCATCAGTAAGTTATACATATGCAGCTTAAACAACATTTGATTAAACTAGTCACATCCAATTTCTTTCAAACATAAAAATCACTCACGGAATTAAATATTGATGGAGAAAATGCGCTCAGCAATGCTGCAAAACATTTTTCTCTCAACATCCAGCCATTGCACAATGTTTTGGATTATTATGATTATTTTTATAGCTTCTGGCAAAATTTCTTTATCCACACTTATCGATATTAAACATAAGTCAACAACGATATGCAATTGAATCACGTTAATTATCGTTATTGCCCTCGTTTATAGCTCAATTTTCTTTATTCAATTCATTTCACTTTCCAAGAACTTTTTTTTCAAACTACATTTCTATTAAAACCATTGCCGTTAATTGCACTGCTATTTATTTGTCGCGGCATGTTACACATTGGAAATGAATGGAGACGAAAAGAAGAAGAAAGAGAATCAAGTCTGTGATGTGAATTAATTACCCATTAAAATGCTCTTGAACTTGTCTACTTGTTGTTACTTTTTTTTTCTTCTCTTTTCTTTCTTTACGAACTGGATTTATGAGCTCGTCTGCTTGTCTCGTCCGACTCTTGCTGTTTCACTGAAAATGAAAATGAATTTTTGCATAATCTTTTTTCGTTCCAATTTTCAAAAAAAAAAAATTATTGAAGGGTATGCAAATTTTGCAGGCTTAATCTGTATAAATGGAATTGGATGGCTTCTTTAGGAATTACGTTGCTTTTAATGTATTACAAATTGTTTTGGATTTTTTTCATGTAGATTAAGAATCAGTCTGAAATTAAGTAAGGCTTTGCAAGAAGTTGTGGGGGTCTGAAGCTGCGTTAAAATCGAGGGGGTAAAGCTACATTGAGCGGATATATGATTTAAGTATATTTAAACTGTGTTTAGACTCTACAGAAGTGTGAGGTAGAAAATCAATTAAGTATGGGGCCGTTCACTTATTACGTTACACAAAAAAACGACTTTTTTCATCCCCCCTCCCTCCTTGTTACAACTCACAACCCCCCCCCCCCCCCCCCCTGAACGTTCATTTGTAAACAAATTTTTTTCGTGAACTTTTTTTTTTAAAAGACAGACGACAGTTAGAACTTTACATACTTCTTGACACCCCCCCCATGTTACATTTTGTTACAATTTTTAAACCCCCCCCTCCCCCCTAAAATGCAAACGTAATAAGTGAACGGCCCCCTATGGAAAGTATAACTAGCACAGTCACAAACCCTTGAAAAATCTCAAAAACTATGGAATACTATTATTGATTAGCAATCCTAAACCGAACGTAAAAAGTTTCTATCTCAATATTATTTTTTTATTGTTAGTGTGACTTGTTCTTATTGATTTAAATTGAATTTCCTAAATAGAATTTTATGTTCTTCCTCCATCAATTTCCCATTCACCAAAAAAAAAAGTTCTGTCTCTAATGAAGAATTTTTCTTTTTCAGTCTTTTTCGCCTTCCTATGGCTGAATGAATTTGCATGAAATAAAACTTGACACAATAGGAAAGTCGATGAATTGATTTATGGTGCTGTATTGAAATTTATCTACTGATATATTCTGGCTTCGTGTTATTATAGACTAAGCTTTTTTGCTTGTGTGCATTTGGGTATAAATATCTACAGAATATGAGGTTAGATATGGAGATTTTTTTTCTGTGTACACAGCTTTTTTTTTGCCTTCATTTATAGTACATTTGGCTCTATCAATGTTTTTATGTATGCTTCTGGCATTCAGGACTTTTTGGGGCAATTTGGATTATTCTCTATGCTGAATCATTATGCACTTAAGCTTAATATGATTTAACCTTTAGTATGACTACATTTAATGAATTAAGGATATTTTATATGTCGTAGGATTCTATATCCTAATGAAAATGACTGCATTAGAGATTGTCACAGCCAAAACAAACTAAATGAGTCATAATCTTATCACAAATCACTCACTTCTGAATCTTTGAGTCACAAACTTGAAGATTTTACGTCTGTAAACATTATTTACGTACTTTCTGCTTCTGACGTCGATTGATAAATTTTGTGCTTTATCTTTTCGCTCTTTTATATCTCTTCTCACGGCATATCCAACACCTATTTATCAGTGATGTATTATGAGTGCCATGATAAGAGCCTGGAATACTCTAAATATTCTCTATTGTGCTCACAAAAATTCAGTGATTAGTAAACAGTTGAATAATCAGCATTTAGTAGGAGTAAAAAAATGTCAACAGACAGTAAGCATGGTACAGTTTTGAGGAAGCTATGATTCATATCAATCAATATTAATTTTAGATTCATTGACACAACCACAAATGGGGTTTGTGGGTGCACCTACATCCAACAATCCACCATATCCACCAGGAAACAATCTCCACTATCCAGCACCAGATATGCCACCTTTACCAGTTAATAATAATCCAATGCCATCCACGAGCACTGCCTTATATCCACCGAATCATCAATACCCACAAAGTGCTCCTTATGCACCTCATGTACCAATTCCACCTAATGTTCACACATCTCAACCAACTGCAAATACAGTAATTATACAGGAACAAAAATTGTCATCAGGTAATAGCTTCATATGTAATTATATCAGTTCATGTAGAACTGAAGTGTCAATTATTCTAGCTGATTAGATTTGAGCTTCAAGGCTGTTTTGTACCTATTTGAGCACGTGATAATCATTAATTATTTTTTTTAAAGATCCAGTAACTCAATACTGTCCAAATTGTAAGGAAATAATCACTACAAATGTTAAATACAAATCAGGAACGAGAACTCATGGTGCTGCATTATTTCTTTGCGCATTGGATCAAGATTGCTGTGCTTTATTACCATATTGTTGCGATGCTGCTAAAGATGCTCATCATAGTTGTCCAAAATGCAAACATTATTTCGGAAAATATGAACCACGACTGTAAAGAAGCTTTAATTTGCTATAAATTGATACTCAAATCATGTCTACTGATTTAAAAGAACCAAAAAAAATTATACAAGAACAATCAAGTCAGTAAACAACTGTAATAACTTCACTCAAGCCATTGTTAAACTAAATGCTGTAATAAATGCCCAAAAAGGAGTGTAAACATTTAAATTAATTGTTAAATCCATGCACAGTGTCAACTAATGAGTGAAACAATTTAACATTTTATATTTTTTGGTCATACGAATAATTTAATAAACCATTAATTGATAAATAATTTATTAAATGTATGAATCGTGGTAGCTGCAGACTGCAGTGAGCATAAAAGGCGGACATGAAAAAAAATTGCAAAATGTCATTTCGGTTTGGTCCGGCGATAAAAAAAAATTCTGTGAAATTTATTTGACTGTAAAAATTGAATTTATATCACCCCAAAAAATACATTTTCCAGCATACAGTTACGACAACTTCAAGTCTTTAATTTTGAGTGACAGAAGTTTCAATATTTGAGCATGCAATGTGTATAGGCAATTTATTCGCTCAGATTTGTGAATTAACAAGGAAAATCTTTTTAATGTGATTCTCGGTACGAGACTTGAATTGCTGTGGATAAATGCTGAAAACATTCAATCTACATATTCTGAACAATTGCACTGCATGAGGACTTTTTTTTTGTAGATTTTATTCAATTTCTCACTCGTTAGTGGAATATGATGAATTAAAAATCAGCTTTTCAAATTTATCGTCATAGACATTTTCGTATTCATTGCTTGATGCTGAATTCCTTTTCATCAATTTTTTGTGTGGTTTCGAAAGCTTCAATAGAATTTCATGAATTCTCATTGATTATGATAGAGTAAAATGTTTAGCCATACACAAAAATTTGAATAGGCTGCTTAGCTAGGTACGAACATCAACCAACAGAAAATGGGAGCACCACAAAAAGAATCAACAAAGATACCTTAAATACGTAGATTGACTTTACCATTATTTTCTTACAAACGATGAATAAACTTAAGGTTTCTCTTTGACTTTACTAGAATTTCTCATTTTAATTGAATTCACTCTTACTCAGACTTAAAAAATTCATTTTTCTCTTCTTGTGCTTACTTTACAACAAAGTCAACATAACCACATAATTTGATTATAAATGCAAATGGTATTTTTTTTTCCTTTTACTTGCTACTTTGATTTACTGTCGCACATCGGAGATGATGATTAATACATTACTTCACTTTCTTTACCTTTTTGATCTTTTCTTTTCACTTCCATTTCCATCTTCATCAATATTACAAATTTCTCGTAGATAAGAAAGAGTGTCAGTTTGTTTAAGAATTTTGTACCTTATGTGTACTTATTAAAGTAAAAAGAGGTAAGAGGCCGACGTCAATCAAAAAAACATAATATTTAGACCCCCTCCCCCTCTGTGACAAATTTCAATACCCCCCCCCTCCTTTTGTGACCTCCAAGACACAAAAAATTTTAATTTCTTGATTAATAAATTTTTTGACCCCCCCCCCCCTTCACCCCCCCCCCCCCAATACTTCCATGAATATATAATTGTCTATAAGTTCTAAAAATGAATAAATAACAACAAAAACAAAAAACAGTAAACAAGTCCAGTGTCTCAATTTCTTCTATTTATGGTTATTTATTTACGGAAAAAGCATTAACAGACACAAGATAAAAGAGAAGCAAAATTGAAAAGCAAAAGTGAAACAACATTCTTTGAATTTTAATCTCTAATTTTACCTGCACTCATTAAGACAAAAGCAGAAATTCTTATCGTCATAAAAAGTGCCTGGCAAGTGCATGACTAGTCAGCTAAGTAAGTCATATGTTTTTCATGTATAAATTGTGTGTTTTATTGTCTGTTTACAGATATAATATGACAAATGTACTTTATGAAAAAAAAAGTCTTTCTCTTATTCACTCTGATTCTCACTTGTTGTTGTCTGTTGTTTGATTCTCTTTTTGTACAATGCACACTGTGTGTATGTTCTCACTTTTCTACTGAATTTATGTTTGTAAATTATTATGAGTAAAGTGTTTGTTAAGGGGCCGTTTACTTATGACGTCCGAGGGGGGGGGGGGATGTGGGTAGCAAGAAAAAAACAATAGAAAATCCTGGAAATTCATTGTTCTTTGTTAAAAAATGACCGTTAAATTCGGATGTCATAATTGAATGACCCCTAAGGGATTGGAGATATGTGGCGCAGTTTAGGATTTCGAAATTTAAGAGAAAGTAAGGAACTTCAGTTGCATTAGTAATTAGACTCAGAAATTAAGATTAACGACACTTGTTTTATGGCAGGCATGAAAAATTGCACAATTTCAAATTTTTAAAAGAATTTCTCAAATAGATTTTGCCGACATAGATCTAACACATGGGAGAGATGACAAATCGACACCCTTTGATCAGTCAAAGTGATGATTGTGAATCATTTTCAGCAAATAGCACCTGAATATTCTTGTTTACCATTGCTGGAAACTTTCGATTACAAAAACAACAAATCTCAGATCCAACAAGCTTCTAACATGTCGCAAAATATGGAATAAAAAAAAGACGAAGAAACTTTTTATTTATTTTATTTTCTTCTTCTTTCATTATTTTCTCCTCTCTTCTCCACACTGCTTCTCATTCTCCTGTGTCAGAACATTAAAAATGTAAAATAATAAAAAAATTTAGTCTTTCAACAATCGTTGAATAAGTCAGTGATGAGTTTGCATTATCGTTGATTACGGTGAATTAATTTAAGTCGCGCAAACAATGCAGAGATTAATTTTGCTGACAATAATATCCAATTTATGCTTGCAATGCATTTCACATCCATATCCGTCATTGCAGAATGTTGAGATCATAGATATTGAAAGTGATGGAAGTAATCAGACTGATAATAATTATGAGCGTGTATTCGTTAAAATAGCACAGAATTACAGGAAAATAAATGAGAAGCAAAAGTCATCGGGTCAACATGATACCAGCCATAAATCATCAACAAACTGTGGATATGAGGTAAAATTGCATTTGATTTGAGTGAAATAGTTGATAAGTGTGCTGTGTCTGTGGATTGAAAATAAAAGTGAGAATATCATTTATTGTGTCATTTAACTTTGTCCGAATTTGATAGTGATTGTTTGTGGATTTTATTAGGCGATTGTAGCCGCTAATGTTATCGCAATAGAATGTAAATTGTGTTTTGAAATTGACAATGATAATACAGCTGTACTGATGTGATTCATTCTGGATTTGGAAATTATTTGTATTGCTATGGACGTATTGTATTTGCTTTGAGGTTTTAACTGTATAGGATTTAACAAACTCTACACTTAGGAAGATATTTCCTAAAGATTTAACACAAGTTCTGCTCAAATTGTTATTGACAGTAGAAGTTTGATCATTTCCACTTTATGTAGTTTATCTAGGATTCAAACTTCAGATTGTCATTTCTCAGTCATTAATTGTGTTTAAATCCTAGAGATCAAGTTTTTCAATTCAATTCAAACTTTCCTCAAAATTGCTTAAATCAGAATTTAAACCAAAACAACAAAATCCACCAGAAGTTCTGGAAAAAATAAGCTAGTCAGATAAACCAAGATCAAAATCAAATTAAAAATCTGAAAAAGCTCCAATCAAAAATAATCCAATAGCAGCATAAACATTCAATATCAGTTTTGTAAACACAAACAATTCCAATTCATCAATCTACGTTTAAATATTATGATTTTAAATACAAAAATAAATCACATTGTATTCAAATCACATAATCCCAACACCAACTTATGTAAATGTGACATTTATTGTTTCATCAAATTTCATTTTATCAATTTAATCTCTCATTTAGTAAGCATGAATGTGGACGATGTGAGAAAAATATTTCATCGTAGAAAAGATGAGCGAGGATGCTCGTAAATCTATATTTGATATGACTCTATAGATTTATTTATAATTTGATATTTAAATTCGATCGAATATCCCAATTTTATTTCTTTTTTTTCTGACCCACAGTCCTGTCCAAAAATAAAGCCTGATATGATAAATGTGCACTTAGTTGCTCATACACATGATGACGTTGGATGGCTAAAAACGGTCGATCAATATTACTACGGCAGTAAGTATATGCATGACGTCGATTTGACATTTTTTTATCACTGATTTTTATTCAACCGGCAAAAAAGGTTTATCGCTGACTACGCGAGAGAGTAGAATTGTTGTTGAATAATCAAATTTGTGCCGGTTGCGATCAACAAACAATTTTATTTTGTTGTTTTGTGCGAATGAGAATCTTACGAAATGTTCTCTCTGACTCTAAATTAATATTGGGAGTTACACTCGATTGAAAGTTTTATTCTCTGCATAACAAGCTGAATACTGAGAAATTGAGATTGTTTTCTAGAATTTTGAAAAAATTCTCAAATTACAAATTGAGTTCTGAATGGGGCACATGCTTTAAAAAATTATTTTTTCTCGATTTGACTAAAACAAATTTGTTTTTGTAAAACTTTAATTCCATTCCTTTTCTCATGTTCCATACTTTTGTTGGCTAGAAATAAAAAGAAACTTTTATTTATGTTGAACTTCGACACAATTTTCGTTCTTATCATTTTAACCGTAAACAGGCAAAGGACTAATACAAAAAGCTGGCGTTCAGTACATCCTTGACACAGTTGTTCAAGCACTTCTTCAAGATCCATCAAAAAGGTTCATTTATGTCGAGTCAGGTATTAATTTCCTCATCTTATCAAGCTATCATCGTGGATCTAATAAATATTCGTCCATACAGCATTTTTCGAAAAGTGGTGGCGGGAACAAGATGATAAACTAAAAGAGCAAGTGAAGATGCTTGTAAATGAGGGTCGGCTTGAATTCATTGGTGGTGCATGGTCTATGAATGATGAGGCGACAACACATTATCAGAGCATTGTTGATCAATTTACATGGGGCTTGAGATTCCTTAATGATACATTTGGTCAATGTGGGCGTCCACGTGTTGGGTAAGATTAATATTAACGATCCTTAATTTCCATACTTAATGTATTTTTTGTTTTGATATATTTGACCTCCCTTTCCTTTCTTGGCTATCCATTTCTGTACTACAACTCTAACTCACTCCCTCATCACCATTTAACTCTTGAACCACTCCGTATTTAAGATCTAAACGACTTTTTATTTATGGCATATCCACACAATCGAAAAATTAAGGCATATCCTTGCATATCCGGTATCTATATGAAAAAGAAAAATATTTTAAAAACTCAATGAAACAATTAGAATTGTAAACATCTCCTTACCATCAATAATATGACGACTGAACTGCTGATTAAGAGAAGCACCTGAATATTCCCCATCGTCGACATTTTCTTCCTGAGTAACGCGAACTAAATTAGACAAAATATAAAATTATTTCATGCAATTGTTTAAATAAAAATTCAAATGTACCTTTTTTCGATTCAGGCTCATAATTAGATTCGCTTTCCCAATCATTTCCATCTTTATCCAATTCTTGCTTAGCATCAAGTTCCAATTGATAATCATAGTCTTCCGTATCACTACCATCATCGTTGCTTTGGAAGCTGTCCATACTTGATTCATCGCTAGATAAAGATATTAAGTTTATGTATGCTTCAACTAAAGTGTTCATTATTGTAAATATAATTTTTATTATTTTTGGCGTAAATTATTTTTTTTAAGAGATGTGTACTCTTCAAGTTTTCAATGCGTAATGAAAATTATTTTTCTATTCGTTTCTTCAGAGGGCTTCAGAGTCTTCAGAGGACTTCAGAGTCTTCAGAGGGCTTCAGAGTCTTCAGAGGGCTTCAGAGTCTTCAGAGGGCTTCAGAGTCTTCAGAGGACTTCAGAGTCTTCAGAGGGCTTCAGAGTCTTCAGAGGACTTCAGAGTCTTCAGAGGGCTTCAGAGTCTTCAGGAGCTTCAGAGTCTTCAGAGGGCTTCAGAGTCTTCAGAGGGCTTCAGAGTCTTCAGAGGACTTCAGAGTCTTCAGAGGGCTTCAGAGTCTTCAGAGGACTTCAGAGTCTTCAGAGGGCTTCAGAGGACTTCAGAGTCTTCAGAGGACTTCAGAGTCTTCAGAATGATTTTTTTTATATTTATGAGAAATATTCAAATTTCAAATGTAGATGGCAGATAGATCCGTTTGGTCATTCAAGAGAACAAGCATCATTGTTTGCCAAAATGGGATTCGATGGTTTATTTATTGGACGTTTGGATTATCAGGATAAATTGAATCGATTGATGAATAAATCAGCAGAAATGATATGGGAGTCGAGTGCGAATTTAGGTGAGCATAATAGTGTAATCCAGAGTTGGAATAAGGGCTCTAACCTATCAGGCTCATGCTGAGTTCAAGCCTAAGAATCTTTTAGTGATAAATCATTCGTGGCACTTTCCAATTTCCTTTGAAGCGAACAAAAGCAGCAAACTTAATTATAGCCACTAAAATTTGATTTTATTCCACAGATAACACTGATCTATTCACTGGCGTGCTGTACAATAATTATGGACCACCGAATGGATTCTGCTTTGATATTTTATGTGATGATGAGCCCATAATTGATGATAAGCACAGTCCAGACTATAATGTTGATAGGCGGGTGAGTTCAACATGTTTCCATTCCCATTATCCGACTAAAATTTGACATTCTTTTTGTGTGTGCTAATGATCCCCCTTTATGCTGCTTAATTTAATTGATTTAATTTCTTTTTGATCCAACAAAGGTGACGGAATTTGTAAATTATATTAAATTACAATCAGATCTTTATCGTTCGAATAACATTATTCTCACAATGGGTGGCGATTTTACATATATGGACGCCCATGTGTATTATAAAAATTTGGATAAGCTCATAAGGTAATGAATGATTCCAAAAGATTTTATTAATTGCTATTATTATTATTGATAATTTATGGATGCGATTCAATAAGGAGATGATAAATTGAGTGAGAATATTAAAGGCCTTTTATGCATGCAATTAAATGACATGGTTATTGTAAGACTTCCATAAATTTCTCTTAACACGAAACTGAATTTAAGTGAATTTATCTTTTAAAGATGTAACGGCAAAATCCAGCATTTACTTCTTTTTTTTGGATAAACTCGTTTCATTCACTTAACCTGAATATTTTTTTATTTCATGTTGACTTATCAAATGTACAGGTCGATATCCTTATGTTCCAATACCAAATACACATGACATTTATTTGAAAGGTTTAAGGCTAAGTTGAGGTCTGTTATGTGTCTAAAGCTGTTTTTTTTTGCTTCAAGTTATCAGTTGATTATGAACTGGACTTTATTGAACATGAATATCAGCTTTAGGGGTTTGAAGCTTATTGGTGATAAAGTGGAGTTGGTTCGATGCATACAACTCTCTTCCTTTGCCTAATGCCTAAATCAACAAACTTTACAATCTCTATACATCTAAAACAAATGCTTCAACATCGCATTCAGTAACAAACTTAATCAAAATCATGCCAGCATTAAAACTAATTAATTACTCAAAAATCAAAAGAAACTAGCGCCTATATAAATCAAATAGACTTTACAATTCAAAAAAAGCCCGCCATTAAGCAAGATAATTAATTAATTCGTTTTTCATTAGAATTTACTTGTCATTTACAATCTTGAGAAATATTCTCCATCATTCATCTTCTCTCTCTATTAAGTTCCATCCATTAAATTTTTCAATTTTCTTGTTTTTGTTCATGTCACAAAATTAAATTGAAAAAAAAGAGGTAAAGTTTTTTTATCGCACATGTCGCTGTAATAATAATAATTAAAAGCATCGTAGAAAAATGAAAGAAAGTCAAATTTTGGTTCATAATGAGTTCTTTGCTTGTTTAATTAAACATTCATCATCTACTGCTTCATTTTTTATTGGATTCTTTATTATTTTCCACATTTTCATTATTCCACAACGTATGCAGGTCGATGACTTTGTAAGTTATGTTAAGAATATGTCTCAAGCATACAATACCCGTAATGTCATCATCACAATGGGTGAGGATTTCAATTATCAGCTCGCACAAATGTGGTTTAAAAACCTCGACAAGTTGATAAAGTAAGGAGGGAGTAGAAATGATGAAATATCATTGATAATGAAATTAATGCAATAATGTGACATGAACAAAAGAATTAAAAATTGCATAGTAGTGAGGATGTCAGATGGCAGTTGATGGAATGAGATTAAATGTTTTTGAAGTATAAGATTCGAACCTTTGACTATGTCTAAATTTCTATATGGTTTAATATTTTAACATGGTAATATTTACCATTGTATCCATTTTAAAGTATACTCAAAGTTTATCAATATATTCCATCACTGCTGTTTTGAAAACTTCTCAAAATATTCAATATTACCCTTACTTACTCTCCAATCCCATCAGATACACAAACAAACGCCAAGCTGAAGGACTCAACGTAAATCTCTTCTATTCAACACCATCATGCTACCTAAAATCCCTCTACGATGCAGGCATAACATGGCCAACGAAAAACGACGACTTCTTCCCATACGCAAGTGATCCACATGCATATTGGACTGGATATTTCTCATCTCGTCCAACAATTAAGAGATTCGAAAGAGTCGGTAATCATTACTTACAAGTTTGCAAGCAACTATCGTCATCAGCAAAAGTCCAAGAGAAATTCTTTGATGGACATTTAAAAGTATTAAGGATGGCGATGGGTATTATGCAACATCATGATGCAGTAACTGGAACAGAGAAGCAACATGTTGCAAATGATTATAGTCGAAGATTAGATCTGGCCATGTCGGCATGTGGTTTAAATATAAAATCATCACTCAATCAATTTGTTACTAACAAATCGCCTTCGATTCCACCGACATCAGAGAGCAGTATAAAGGCAAACCACACGTCAATGGTAGAATCAGATTATTGGGATTTACAATTCGAATCTTGTCTCAATTTGAATATATCTGTATGTAAAATATCGGAGGATTCCAATCAATTTATGGTTACTGTTTATAATCCATTGGCTCATGCTACATATCAATACGTACGAATGCCAGTGTCTGGCTCTAAATATGAAGTTCGTGACTATCGTAATATTATTGTGCCATCTCAATTAGTTTCAATTCCCAGTAGCATCAAATCAATTGACTATCGTTTGAGTAGTTCCAACAATGAAATTGTCTTACAAGCAACAGAAGTTCCAGCATTCGGATATAAATCTTACTTTGTATCTCGCATCATGAATGAAATTGAACCAAGTGTGATTCACGTAACGAGACGACACAAACGTAAACCAGAAATAGTTGTTATTGGAAATGAGCAAGTGAATGTGACATTTGATGTCAATGGACTTTTGTCACAAATATGTGTATCAGGTGGAACTTGTAGTAAATTATCCCAAAAATTCCTTTATTATAAAGGTGCAGTTGGAAACAATGAAATATATGAGAATAGATCATCAGGTGCATACATCTTTCGTCCTGATCCAAAATCATCCGAGAAAGAGATTGCAAAGCATGCAACAATTGATGTCATAAAAGGTGAGGAGGTTGATGAAGTTCACCAAACATTCAACGAGTGGTTAAGTCAGGTCGTTCGTATCTACAAGACAGAGAATTTTGTTGAATTTGAGTGGCTTGTTGGACCGATTCCAATTGACGATGGAGCTGGCAAAGAAATTATTTCACGTTTTTACACGGTCATGAAAACAGATGGTGTCTTCTACACTGATTCTAATGGACGAGAAATGCTGAAAAGAAAGCGAAATCATCGTGATACGTGGAAGGTTAATATAAAAGAGCCAGTGGCTGGAAATTATTATCCAATAAATACAAAAATAGCTATTGAAGATAAGGAACATCGATTGGCTGTATTGACAGACCGTGCTCAAGGTGGTTCGAGTCTTTATGACGGCACTGTCGAACTGATGGTAAATCTTGACCTTTAAATTCTTTTGTATAATTATTTCCAAAACTTAGCATGTGACAAGATGTATGTAAATCTTACACGAACTTCCAGTAGTGCATGTCATTAGAATAAATTTTCAAGTTCACATCTCTTGCGAGATCAGAAATATTGCACGAAAACAAGCCTTTTAACAAAATTAGCAAGTAATTTCATCTCTCAATCGCCCATTTTCACATAGATTCATCGCAGGCTATTACATGACGATGCTTTTGGCGTTGGTGAAGCACTGAATGAGACAGCATATGGCGGTAAAGGTTTGATTGCGCGTGGAAAACATTATTTAATTTTTGGCAAGAAAACAAATGAATCTCCAACGCTTGAGGGACAAGAACGTTTACTGCAAAATCGTGTATTGATTCCAAATTGGCTGTTCTTCGATGATGTTTCGAGCATTAGCTATGATGATTGGACGAAAAAATATTCGAATATTGTAAGTTTATTCTTTTTTTACTTAATTTTACTTCTCTTACTTCCTTTTTTACCAGGGGGATAACAACATGATGGGAAAGAGTTTTGAAAGTAAATTTTTGAGCATTTATTTCTTCTCATTCGGTTGCAAATTGCTGGGAATCTTTCATCATAAATATTTCCCATCACGTTGTTTCCCCCTCGCTTTTTCTCCATTCTTATCTCAATTGATGATGATGATGATGGAGGGAAAAGAAGTGAAACTTGCGTATTCTAGGTTGATTTTATGCTAAATCATGGTTTAATAATGAAGTTTGAGTATCGGAGATTGAATGTTTGCTGGATTTAATGGAAATTCTTTCAGTTCTTGCATTGAGTAAAAAGATTCGAGGTTTTTTCGATCGCGGATTCTTTTTAATGAAATATTGAAACGGTTTTTCACGGTATTTACATTTTTGGAATCAAGGAATGCAGGAACATTAAGTTTCTTGAGTAAAGATCGGATCCAGTTCAGGGTATTAAGTGAAATTGAATCTGAAATGCAGATTAAAAACTTTAAAGGATAATGAGGAAGCTGTATGACGTCCCCATGCTCAAATGATAGACGTCATAAGTGAAAAACCCCAAACCAAAATTGAATTTAATATCTTTTTTGATCCAATTCCACATACCAGCCTCAATTTAACTTAACCTAATCTTCTGTCAAAAAAAAAAACTTCCTTCATTAAAATCTCCATGTTCAAATTCCATCCGATACCCAGTGATTCAATTATCTTCTTTACATATCATGCAAATTCGCATAATCATCATCTAATCTCTTCCATCCTTCAATCTCTACTTCTTCCTCTATATCAGTATCTTGTATGCTAACAGCAACGCAATGAAAATCCTCTTTTTATTTTCAGCATTCATCCATAGGATTGTCTTTACCACAAAATGTCTATTTCATGACATTTGAGCCGTGGAAAGATGGAACGTTCTTAATTCGATTTGAACATTTATTGGAGAAAAACGAAGATCCGGAGCTTTCAAAAACCGTGAGATTTAATTTAACGGATGTCTTTCCAGGCTATGAAATTGACTTGAAAGAAGTCACATTATCGGCAAATCAATGGATTGAGGAATTACAAAGATTGCATTTCAAGTCAGAAGGTGCCGATTTACTCGATGAAATAAATTTAACTGATAGTGATAAGCTTAAGCCTGTAATTGATATGGAAATTACACTTGATCCGATGGAAATGAGGACATTTGTGATGACTATGTGGGCTAAAGTTTAGATTAAATTTAATCTCATATAGAATCAATTGGATTGAACATTATGATTCCTATACTGAGTAAATATAATGTGACAATCTGACTGGTTCTTTTATAGACTGTAATAAAAACCAATTAAAAAACTTTTTTTTATACACGAACTGTTTTGAGTTTTTTTGATTTATTTTTCCATTCCAAAAATCATCAGATGTCAAAAATAATAATGCTAGGAATAATAAGTAATATATTGTACAAATAAGTTTATATCAATGCCTTGGTTTGTAGAAAATCAAAATCTTTCTTTTCCATTATTTTGAGCACTTGCGAGGGTTTTCGTAGAGTGAGACGAGATATTTTATATTTTGCAATAGCAAAGCGTTCTAAATACTAGAAATTTTGATCCCATCCAGACATCTCATCTGGTGGTGTCTCATAGTCAGGTGTAAAAGTGTCAAAGTTTGATAAGTCGAGTGGTCCATTAACGCACGATATTCGTGGCGGTTTGAGCGTCAAATTTGCTAAATTCTCAAAGTCAAAACCTTGGAACCATCTGTAAATAAAGGTAAGGATGAAGCACATTAGAGACAGTCATTAAATATTTTGTTTGATGAAGCATTAAGGCTTGAATGAATTGGTATAAAATTGTATACTTTTGAAGGTTGAAAGCGCATTTTTGTATAGTTTTTGGCTGGCTTAGGCTATAAGCAGGTAATTAAGTGATCAGATGGACTTTACAGACTGACAAAATGAGTTTGATAAGATACTAGTTGTCACAAACGAATGGATATCAAAATATACAAAGACTTTATCAAAGAAACTGGAAGAATTACCAAAAAAAGTCAAGCAAGCATAAAGGTTTAATGTATCCTCATATGTTTGTGTCACAAACTCATCAAGATTATTTTTATCGCTACGAAATCTCTTTTTTTCTTCAATTAATCCATTAGCTCAAAATAAACATTGACAACATAAACAGCCGAAAAAACAGCCCCAACAGAGTGATGGAAATGCATGAAAAAAAAATTATAATCCAATTAACTTACTTGTGCTTTCGTATATCATCAATTCCGTTGCGTTGATAACCTAATCTATCTGTCGGTATATCGCGGCATAATTTCTTTATTAAGCTTATAGCAGATCTAGACACGTGTCGTGGATATTCAATTGCGTCAATTCCTTTCAATATCAAATTGTACGTTTTGAGTGGATCGCTGGATGTAAATGGCGGTGTACCGGTAATTAATTCACTGATTAATATTCCTAATGCCCAGTAATCTACAGCTCTATCATGTCCTTTATTAAGTATGATTTCGGGCGCTACATATTCTGTGCGAGTTTATCCATGCCACAGTGGAAATGAAAGCGAAGAACAAGAAACAAAAAAAAAGTTACAGAAACATCCGACTAAGTATAAAGTTTCTTATGTTAAGAAGCTTACCAGGCGTACCACAGAATGTAAAAGTTTTTGTCGAATATCCAATTTGTTTTGCAAAGCCAAAATCGACAAGCTTTACATATCCATTCGAAGTGAGCATTAAATTTTCAGGTTTCAAATCACGATAAATAATTCCACGTCCATGCAAATATTCAAATGCTTCAAGAACACATCCAATTATAAATTGAGTAGTTGTTTCGTCAAAGCGTCCTTGGTTCCTTAAGATTGTCCATACTTCACCTCCTAGACAGACTTCCATCAGCAAGTAAATAAACTTTGAATCACGAAATGTTCGATAAAGGCGACACACAAAGGGACAATCAGCACCTGTCAAATAAAGGATTTCAATAAAAAAACATTTCATTAATTCAAATGCCTTACATGACAGCATAATTTTCCTCTCATTAAAGACATGCTCCTCCTGCTTTGTTTCTACAATATGAACCTTTTTCATCTGTTTTAATGCAAATACATTCAATGTCGTGTCTTTTGTGTGTTTAACAAGCAAAACCCTCCCAAAACCTCCGATGCCGATGGTCGCCAGTGAAAGAAGATCCGATAGTTCCATATTTTCATATTCTATAAAGAAATGCAAATTTAAGGAATGGATATGTTATGCATAGATATTGTGAAATAATGCAAACGAGAAAAAAAGGGGTGTTGGATATGAATGAAGACATGAGGTCTCGTGCTTGGCCTTTTTGTTGCTATTTTTATAATCGAAGGATGTAGTATATAGCAGTATATAGTGTTTTGTTGTTTTTTGGCCAGTGGCGGTGTGATTTATGGATATAACTTTAAAGAATCTTTTGAGATTGAATGAGATTTTATAGGAACAAGTTTGAGATTGAATTTATGGACAGAGTTGTCATCGTCTATACCTTAACTTTGGGTATGTATTCGCGTTTGAGATTTTAAAACTATTTTCTCACAAGAAGTGCACTACAAAGCATCTTATGTTAATCTAGGTATGATCTAGTTCAGAGGTTCTCAAACTGTGTTTCACGACACATTGATGGGTGTTAGGAACTTTGTAGGTTAGATGCTAAATTTTTAAAATAGACAGTAAGTTCCAGACTGTTCTTGAATGAAAAAAAGTTTGAGCAACACTGAATAGAAGCAAATCTTATGCATTAAAAGAAAACTTCAGGAAATGTTTCAGAAAAATGAGATTCATTCTAGAAATAGTAGCTAGAAATCACCTCTGTCCATAACAATTCAAAAATTCAAAACAGAATTCAGAAAGGCATGAATAAAGCAACATCAAAAACTCCACTGGATGCATTCAACAATATTCAATCATCACACAACAGCAGCAGTTCAAGTGTGAAATAAGAAACCGAGTATAACAAACCTTTTAGAAAATCACTTCGCTCGATGATGGGTATTTGTTTGTTTTTAAGGTTCTTGATTGCATAAATTCGATCCCTATCACCATAATCCCTTTGATGTAGCTCAATTAAGTCACCAATATGCTGATTGAATGATTCTCGATCGAGAGTAAGACACTCAACACCCGGACTTAAGGCAATGATATTTGCTGTTCTTTTGTCTTCCTTGATTAATGCTTGTTCACCAAAATAATCACCACGACCGAGTGTTCGAATTTCTTCCTCCTTTATGCTGCCTACAATAAAAGAATAAAGATTTCAAAATGATGAATGGATAGACGGAATGAGAATCAAAAATCCGTTAAATGAGGAAAGAAGCATGAATAATTTACCTGGTATACGTTGAGTAACTTTCACAGATCCTTGACTAATTAAAAAGAAAGTATCACCCCGAGCGCCTTGTCGAATGATGTAAGCATCAGATGGATAAAATTCCTAATTAGTTGAATAAATAATGCAAAAATAATAATAAATTTCTTCCTCATTCCGTTTCATGAATATTTCAAGTTTGATGAGAGAATTAGAATGAAGGCATTAATAATGAAAAAAGTGTTTTGTGGGAGAAAACAATAAAGTGAAGAAAATGAAAATATTTTTCTGAGGTTTTTGTGGAACATTTTAATTATAAAGTTTGTATTCAAATTTAAAGAGTTAAAGACTTTTGAAATCTTAAGTCTGCATATAAATTAAATAGCATGTTGTTTGGACATTAGTGGTGGAACTTTTGCTAAGTTTTGATTCTCAACAATAACATTAAAAATATAAGAACTTAATTTTATCTTTTAATTCCACCATTTTTTTCCAAATAGGGTTCATTTATATGTTATGTCTATCATTTTGAGAAGACGAGAGTCTGGGGTTATTTATTGGTACAACTCAAATGATATACAAACTAGAAAAATCTCAGTGATATACTAAAATAGTAAGTTTGTGTACTAAAATAGTAAATTCGTATACTAAAATAGTAAAGTCATAATTTAGTAGTATAGCTCGTTTTTCTTATAAGAAATGGAATAAAGAAATCCTAAAAAGACATCATTGATGAATGAACCCCTCACAAGTCTCTCGAAAAGAGCCTCAAGTGCCACGATTCACGAGAGTCAGCATAAATATGTATACATATGGTAAGAATGAGATGAACTTGAAGAGGTAAGAAAAGTAAATAACTTCCATGTGTGGAGAAAGTCGTAACAAAATATCAGAAAAAAAATAAGCGGAAGTGTGTAAGAATGTGCAAATATGTGGTTTAATATGCTTCCTCATTATACTTTACCAGCTCAAGTACGTCAGCAATTTTGCAGAGAACATCCTCACTCAGATTCTTCAATAACGGAACAGATTTAAGAAAATTGACATTTTCTTCGATTCTTTGTAAGCCAGTGCGCATCATAATTTGCTGAAAGGCACGTCTGTCGAGAACCCATACGCGAGAGTATGGCTTTATAGCTGTAAACACAAACAAGTAAATTTTAGAGAGTGTAAACAAGTTTTACAAAGGAGAATACTGTAAAATTTGGCTTAAAGGCGCATATTCTGTGTCTAAAACTTTAACTTGAGCTGCTCCAGGGCACCAAATGACGACGTTCAACTTTGGAATCAAAACTATGACGAAGTGGTGCCCTGACGTAGGCTTTACATGACTAAAAGTGATTTTTGCAGTTTAATTAGACAAAGAACTTTAATGGCCTCAAAAAAAGATAATTAAACGCCAGAATAAGCACCATCGTGATGAAAAAAATTGTACTGTACCTTTAATTGAAGCTGTTCGTCGGCAATTATACAAAATTGCCAATTCACCAAAGGCCTTTCCAGATGATAGAGTTCCCAGCACTTTGCCATTCACTTCTATCTCAAATTCGCCATCTGCCGATACATACAAATGATTTCCCGGCTCATTCTCACGTATTACATATTCGCCAGCATCTACATTGCGACTGTACATTGACTCGACAAGTTCACGAACTTGTACACAATCGAGATGCTTTAGGAAGTCATTATCGGAAATTGCATCCTTTATTTGTTGCTTGGATCTGATGTTGAAAATGAAAGAAAAATAAATTTCATTTTTTTTTCGACTTTTCTTGCTCTGCTTTGCTCGGTACATGAGTGTATGGAGAAAAATTGTGGAAATTAAGGCGGATGCTCACAATTATGGAAGGGAAAAATTTTCATTTCCATTAATAAATGCTTGTTTTGTATTGAATGGGCTAACACAAAATTGAATCAATTCGAGAAATGTTGGAAAAAGTTTCAGAATAAATTTTTAAAGAACATTAAAGGTAATGTTCTATGATGCTTGAAATTGATATTATTTCTGTTCAATGGATGAATTTTGGGGTACTATATTAAAGCTTGTCAAATTGATGGCACGGGATGGCACGTTTAAGAATTAGAGTTTTGTGAACAGTGTTGCTGTACTGGACTAGTTAAGTAAGGTACAGATCTGTTACTAGATTTTATGGCTTTTCTAATCACACTATAATGTCTTTTTAAGGCTCTAGAAATTGGTAGTCGTCAAATCCCACTTGAACGTCCCAGATTCAATTCAATTTTGAAGGAAACGAGTGGCATATACTCAAATAACAACATTAATCTATATTCTCATTCCAACTCAAGCCTTTAAAACTGCCTGATAAAAAAATTACTTCCATTGTGCCATGATGCCGACAATTTTGAAATGTAATATCCAGTTACAATCTCTACCTGAAAATTAATTAAATTAATAAAAAAAAAAATCCTCACTCACTTGAAATCCTTTTCATATTTCCTTATTAAAATGTCACTCGAATGTCCAATAAAACTAGCGTCACAGCTCTCGCCTGAAACACCTTGCTTCTTAATATTATTAGGTTGATTAAGATTGTTGATATGTTGTTGATGGTGATGATGGTAATTATAATGATGACTAATATGATTATTGTGCTGTAAAGGGAGTGGTGGCATAGATGCAACTGATGTGACGGAAGACTTGACGCTATCATAATAATTCTCATTTTGATTGCCGTTGTTAAACGTTGATGTTGTCGTCGTCCCAACTATTCCACTCGCTGCTTGTAGACTTGACAAATTACATTCATTACATTTTAGATTTCTTATCGCTTGTTGATGCAGGACACTCTATATATTTATATTTATTTGCGTATCGTATTTTGTAAGTGTGTCCCAGTGTAAATACATAAATCACAGAGATAATGGGAAATGATTGTTTTTGGAAGGTTGCAAAGTTTTGTAAAATATAAAAATAAATATGAAAAGAAAAATGTAAAAAAATAATTAAAATAATAAGGATAATAAGCTGTTTGTTTAATTATTTTGATATTTGGATCTTTGGATTGTATTGCTTAATATAGCCTGCTCATTTCGCTCATTATACTTAAGTGCATGTAATTAATTTTCTCTATTCTACTTGTAAATGTTTTTGACACAATATTTAAAAGCATTCAGCAGGAGTGTAGTTAGGATTTTAGATTTACTGACACAGCATGTCTCAGAAATATTAATAGAGAACTTCCCATCCAAAGGACCATTCTAAACTAAGATCTCCTTATGACTCCTGCTAATCTCCCCTTTAGCTACGCTTAGTTCTAATTATTCTCCTCTAGCTACACACCTTACAACTTAAGATAATGCCAACATCATAAAAGAACCGCCACAAGATACGAAAAATATCGAAAGCATGTCAATCAATCAAAGCTACATTCATTATTGTAATAAAAATGATAAAAGACGGATACGAAAAAGAAGGAACAACAGAAGGTCATGTCACTGATTTTTGGAAAGATAATTTATAGTTCAAGATATCCGATATGGACTTCTCTCTATGGGTTGATAATTGTGTCATTGAAAGGAAAGAATGATGGTTAATATTTATGGCTTTGAGGCTGACAATTTTTTGGGGGGTTTGGAGAAGATTCTATTTATAGTTTAGAGATGATGTTATCAGTCATTTTGTAGATATTTTTGGATGCTCAAATTATTAATTCCTTCATTAAACTTCTGTTCATTTACTCTTGGGCTTTGATTTTTTTATGTGACTTAAACTGTTTGAACTGTGATTGAGTATCAATGATTGATGAATGAACTTTTCTGAAGTTTATAAATAGACGATTTGATATTAAATTTTCATTTCTGTTTATCTTGTTTCTTCAATAAGCTGCAATAAGACTTTAGAATCAAGTTACGTCATTGGTTCTTAAATGTTTAAATATAAATCATCACTTCCTTCATTTATTGATTAAACGTGATACTGGAATAGTATGCTTTATTGGGAATCAAAGGCATATCCTCACAAAATAGAACAGATATCCTTAATTCCATATTTTTACGATTTTATACCTTTAAATAAAGATTCAACAAAATACGAAAAAAAGTTCACAAAAAGCCCCATTTCACTGTATATCCATGCCATCTTTGAATGACATTATCAATGCTAACTTACATACAACATAATCCGCCTTATCTGTTTCACCTCTCAAAGTGTCAAAGCCTAAGCATTAAAGTTTCAAAATTGATAGATGTGATAAGTAAGCTAGTATATCTAATGAATTGATAGCAGCAAAAAAAAGTAGAAAAAGGAAGAGATGAATGACAAAAAATTAAATACAAATGATGAACAAAAACATCATAGCAGAAATGGACGTTCGGTATTGTCGTATTATTTCAAGAAAAAAACAGGATACGAGAAGGAAAATCAATGAGATGGAAGAGTGGACATAAATGAAGGTTGGAGGTAGGACAAAAGATGAATGATGATGTTGTATGTGAAATGTCTCTATTTGTCCACTTTTTCTCCATCAGACACGACTCTATGGATTTCAATTTCTCTATATTGTTTACATTATTCGATACATTATCAACTTGTCTGCTCTATTTGCCTCATCTATCCATGTTTGAACTTCAATAGAAATATCTATTCCTCCACAGACATTTATTGACTTTTGAAGTCATTTATTTGTTTTAATATTGTTTAATCCTCAAATATAAAAGCAGTCTAGAATATTTTTAACTTAGTCTGTTCATATTTGAAGTAAGTCTTTTCGTCTCTTATTCTTATCAAATCGTTTATTTGTCCAACATGTGACAAAATAGTCACAAAAATTATAGTGTTCATGTTCTGATAACAACGTGGCTATTGTATGAGAAGAATTTGTTCCTTAGTGTGCAAGTTTTGTTCATAAAACTTTAATAGAGGGAAAAAGGAACAAAGTTTATTACACAGTGAGAACTGCTGAAGTTTGTTTTTATGAATTTTATAATCTGAACGCATTTTATGAAAGGATGCGATCGGAAAAGAGCACATAATGGGCAGGTAGATTTTGAAAGTTAACTTCTGAGAGAGTTTTAGCAGGTTAAGTATGTGTTTTGCCATTTAAAAATTATTATATATTTACAGAAAATTGCTACAAGGAAAATTGTGAGGTGACAGAAGTTAAGCAACGCAAAATGTTTTTCTACAAGGATGGGTGACCGGTTTTTAAAACTTCCTTCTTATGTATTTGAGATAAAATGTTAATAATAATTTCTAGCTCTTCCAAAATTATTCACAGAATTGACATTAATGCTTCTTTATTGAGGTTTCAGTTATATAATATCCTTGTAGTTGCTCTGAACGCTATAATAGAATAAAACTGCATAATCAGTAAAGGAACCTAGTCATTCAGCAGCCAGTTGCCTTTAAAAATGCTGCAAAACATTTCTTTTCAGATTCTTGGAAGGTTGGTTCAGTGAAATACTGTCTTTTTGAAAATAGTAGTGCCTGCCTTGACAGTGACTCAACCTTAAAATGTGGCAATAAAAATCGAGATAATTTATTTACAGAAAGATTTTTTCTAATGCTTTAAAGATTTTTCTCACAATTTTATGGAAGGCTTTAAAAAATAGAATTTCTGCAGATGTTATGGCATAAAAAAGGGATGAAAGGAAAAAGAAATTTAATCATATTGCCAAATATCGAATATTGTGTTATGAACGGGAATAATTTCTGGAGAAAAAGGGATGAAAATTTTTTATTGCCAATATTTCAAGTTCTTTTAAAAACTTTACAATTGGGTTGGGTTAAACATCACATCTGAAATCTCAACATGAGACTGCCCAATGTGAAACAATTTTGATTAATTTTCATTTCCTTAAAAATTAATTTGTCAAGTTCCTAAGCAAATGTTACAGAACTAATCAACGTCATAATATCAGCAAGTTATATTCATGAATTATTCAATCCTATTCATATTTTGAGATCAAATGGAAGTCTTTTCTATAAACATAAACATGAATATTTCCTCATCTTACTCAAAATAAACTCCCGCAATCAAAAGAATCATAAAAATGAGTCCATTTTGTTTATTTTTTATTTCAAAAAATCATAAAAAATCAAACTCATCATAAATTTTCCCCTTTTACGTGGTTCCTTTCGCGTGGTAAATGATTCAAATTTTTAAAAGCGGTACTTTTTGGGCTGAATGACAATATCTGTGCTATGTCTGTCTTTTCGGTTGAAAGCTATCCAACAGTCGATTTCTTTGGTATACTCTTGAGACTATTTCAAGTTTATATTCAAAAAACCAGCTTCAGTCTGTCCATTTGACTCCCAAGCTTCCATCTCCTAGTTTGTACATGTTCAATTGAGACAATTTATATTGAAGGAGGTCATTGATCCTGGTTCATTTCCAACATTTAGAAGGACCAAGGACACTTTGGACTATCTAGCTTCTCATTAAAGCTCAAAAGTAAGCGAAAATTGGATATATGAGAAAATTGCGCTTTAGTTGTCGACATTCTACATCTGCTGTGTGGTACGAAAAACATTTTTAAAACATTCCACTGGTTTATGGCCAAATGATGATACTGCAATGCTTTGCTGTAATATTTTCATTTTTGTGAATATTTCCCAAGAAGTAAATTTATTAAATTCTCAGTTCTGGCTGCAAAATTTCATCAATTTCCTGTTTACCAATTTACAGGAATTTTTCATCATAAAAAATTTATTTTTGCAAGTCGCATTAATTCAAGCAAATGGCTCAAAAAAAATCAATTTACTGTTAAAAAGCAATTAAAAGATTAATTGATATTAAAGCATCCATAAAATGATTTAATTCTGTTTATGAAATAACCACAAATTTGCGGGAAACTCGAGGTGTACGGATCATATCAATATCAATTATAATCAGCATATAAATAGAAAATGCAAATGATACTAATTCAAAAACTTTTGATGCGGCATGCATCGATATGAATGACAAGCTATCTCATCACAATTCTATTTACATCGCAGTTATAGATTGTTTGTATGCTCTTTAAAATTATTTAGTTTGATATCATCACGTATCATGCATAATTATGATAATCATAATTTTCATCATTATCATAACTCGTGCTGCATAATTATGAACGCAGTGAAGAAAATTTTTATATGTGGTTTTAAGAAGTTGGGAAAGTATGTCGATGATGGAATTTCAATGCGAATATTAAGAAGCATTTTAGTTGCCAAAAGATTTAAATTTGCTTTACAAATATTCAAAACTGTGGTGGAAGTACAGTTCGAATTTCGAACTTGGACCGGTGTACTTCACACAGGCTCAATACTGTGGTGCAAGCAAATATTCAAAACTTGAAGCTTTCTTAGGAGATGAATAGGCATTTTAGAAGACTTTATGCTTCAACATATAACTTGTTCTTGTTTGACTAAGCCAGACTTCATCCTGTTGTCGATAAGAGATGTCAGACTGTTTTCCTACCTCTTTGTTATCAAAATATTGCTAATTCAGTCAAAACAATAAAGTTTTGGACTAGGCACTATCCATTTCAATTATATTTTAGTCTTGAGATTGAATCCTGACCAAAAAAGCTATAACTTAGCTGTAAACAGCCCAAGACAACCTCCCCAGCAAACTTTATCATTCAAATCTCCTATAAAATTCCATCAAAGAATCTTCAATCAAGTCAAATTGACTAACAATATTCATCTCACACATTTAAATCATGCTGATGATAAATTTATTGATGATGAGACATGTGAGTGACGTAGGGTGCAGAAACCGCACTGTAAATTGATCTATTTTATTGCTCTATGCTTGTATGTTTACCCATAAATTATAGAAAATGTAGCGATAACATCTGCTGAAAGACTAACAAATGAGACGAAGCACTTCCTCATCCTTACTGCAGTTATGGCTGTTTTTAGTGTAAATAAATAAAATTTTGAAATTCTGTGTTGAAAAAATTACATTCCAACAAGCATAAACTACTTAAAAAGCTTACATTTTATTATTATTTACAATGTAGAATATTTCATAGCTTTGCTTTGGATCCGCCGCATTTACCGCATGAGAAACAAACAACAAAAAATTTCGGATGTCTATGCATGTTGAGTAACAAACAGTTTTTGAATAAATAATTAGTTTTTGCTATTAAATTTTAAAGGAGCCATGACTTTATGAACGTTAGACTCGCTTACACAGATATAACAATTATTACATGGCATGTAAAATGTCTTGATGAATATAGTCATGATTATAATGAATTTTAATTATCATGAAGCTTGCAGAAGGAGTTTTAAATTTATGGGGTGTGGATTTTGATTTGGATGGTTCTTGTGCATCTTGGGAATAATGCTGTCTGCATTTTTGTCATTTAATCTACACGATATTTAATTAATTAATGTCTCAATGGCTTATTATCAAATGAAATCCCGATAGGGTGGTACTTAAATCATAAGTTCTTCCTCAGATTCTGTTTGGAATCAAATCAAAGTTCCACAAAAGAAATAACAACAGTTATCTGGTTCAGCACCATGACTTTCCATCTGCATTTGCTTAAAGCTTGATTCCTAAGATTCCTATCTGTGACAGACTTATCGTTTGATTACTTTTTCAGACTATTAATAAACCAGAAAGCTCTATAAAAGCTTCAATAAGAGCAAACTTGCACATGAGCATCAAATCTCTCAAGTTCTTTGAGATATGCATCCTTTCTTTGCTTTCATCTTGACACAGAATGAAAACTTATCTCATCCAAGAAATAATATTGACAAAAAAAAAATTTACAGCAGAGTAAATGACGTGTTATGTCAGCTAGTCAGTAGCACTTAAATATTTCATGATTCTAAAATGAGCAGCTAAGAAAACTTTTCTTAACAGTCGAGGCAGTATAACGTGTAAATAAAGAAAATATAAGTAAATGATAAAAATAACAAAATAAAGTAAAGGAGCAATTAATTATGTAGGAATAAGGCGCATTTTTGATTTTATGAGCATTAAAAGTAGACTCGAGGGTCATTTACATTCTTAATTGAAGGATACGATTAAATAAAAACTTTTGCACCAAAAACGTGCCTCAAAATCACACCAGCCAACAGAAAAATAAAGTTCTATGCTGTTCTTCTTACCTTCAGTTTGTGAATTTCACGCCTTAATCTGCCAATTTCTTCGTCACGGTTTTGTATCGTCTCTTTCAATTGTCGAATTTCTTCATGCAATGTAATTGAATTTATATCATCTTGTGCTAATGGATGTTGAGCATAACTTTCGGATATTGACCGCTTCTTTTTTAATTCATTATAGCGCTGACCGAGCAGGACGAGTGAAGTTTTGCGAATCTATAATTAAATGATAATGTTAAAGTAATTTACAGACGACAAATTGATTTACTAATTAATCAATTAATTGATACAATTGTGAAGTTTTTCATTATAATAATAAAAATAATCATAATTGCTGTAGGAATGTCATTAGTGAATGGATATTTTCATGCCAAAACATTGAAAGTATTAATTTCCATTCACATTATGGTAATTATTGAAGCTTTGAGATTTGTTCAGGGTGTCCATATGAAGGTTTTGTTGACTGAGACATATAATCAAAAATCTGACGTACCATGATTTATAACTCAATTCATATGGACATCCTGTCTCAAAACTTGTCAACCTACACACAAACTTTTTTAAGCACTGTATGATAATCCTTAATGTTCATTCCTCAATTGAATTTTGAATAAATATAAGTTATTCTCACCTGATCTTTTGTTCCTGGATCACTGAGCATAGGCTTTATTCTTGAAGATTTTTTGATAATACTGGCAACGTTTCCCATCGGACCAAGAATGCCAGATTGTATTAAGAAGTCTTGTGATGCCTTTTGGGATATAAGAACAAATAATTAAATCAATTGATGTTTTTATTGAAGAATGAAGAGGCCGTTCACTTATGACGTCCAGGGGGGGGGGGGGGGGGTCAGCAAGAAAAGAACAATTCCTGGAAATCCATTGTTCTTTTATGAAAAATGACCATCAAATTCGGACGTCATAAGTGAACGACCCCAAAATAAGTTTGAGATCAATACACTTAACAAATGCTAGGTCTACACTACCATAAAGCTTAATTAAACTTTATTATCGCATTATCAATCCAATGAAAAGAAAAAAAATCTCCAAATTGAACTCAAATGAATTTATGAACGAGTCAACAAACTAGCAACAGTCGAATCCTTTATTTAACAGCAACATAATTTGATTTAATCAAGCGTAGCGACGCTGTAGAAACATTTGGACTATACAATTTCATTTCTGTACAATTTAGTTCAGGGTTGTTGACCGAGAAGTTCACAAAACTAATCCTTAATTGCCATTGACACGAATGAACCTCCACCTCTGATTTCGCCCACGCATTAGACAAAAAACGGGTCATTCGGTATGAAATTTGAGTATTCTTGTTCTCAAAAGGATATACACACACGCATGGTTCCATTCATAGAACGATATGAAATGAAATTTTACGAAAAAATGAAATTATCATCGTGGGTCTTTGTTAGTGATGACGAGGAAGTAAAGGGGAGGCATTAAATCACACTGCCTGACTGGTCAAAAAGTTGCGAAAAGTCTGAATCTGCAGGATACTTCATAGTAAGTTAAATGAAGCAGGTTGGAAAATTAGCAAGTTACGAACCAAATCAACGACCCCAGCACAGCAGTTTGAATCAAATTGAAAGCTTAAAGACTGAATCGTTCATTCACTTGAAATGAATTGTAAGTAATTTATTGTTTCCATGCGTCCCGCGCACAATATTACCTGCAAAAATTCCTTCTCATTCGGTTGTGCTTTCGGTGACTTTAAATTGTTTTCAGTCGTACCATTCGATATGTGATTCTCACTGCAATGAACTTCTACAGCAACAATATTTGTCGTAGGTTTCAATGACGATGAATTATTTTCATTAACAAGCAAATCCGATACTTTTCCACTTAATTCAATTTCCTCACTCGTCTCATCGACACTGTATGATGATGAAAATGACCTATCGCCAAGCGAACGGAAGGATGAGGATCGTTGATGTGGAAATGGGAAGCTCTTGGATGATTTTTTAAAAATTGGACGACGCGGTACTGGATTCTCTTGATGATTTTGTATTGTTGGACTTTTTGCTGTTACTTGAACTTGGAATTCCGGATGAATATCAAATCCATTTCCATTACACAATAATTCTGGCGATGACGCACGTTTGGAATGTTTTATTTCTATTTTCTGACTTCCCGCTTTAATTATCGTCTCCAGTGACGTTTTATATCGATTGTTACTTATCAAGTCACCAGCTGATGTTATCGGATAGCGATTTTCTTCAGTGAATATAATAGGCGTGTCAGGATGTGAAAAGGACTGTGTCTTACGACTATTACGTTCCAATCTCCCACCACGAAATTGTTTCTCAAATTCGTCTTGTTCTAAAAGTGGAATTACAGTTTGATGATGATGTGGATGATTATTACATTTACATTTGGCAAAGAAACTGCCGCACGTATTTGATTTCTTAAAATTCGACCTTAGCGGCACCGGTCGTTGAACATCGACTGAGCATTCAGCATTTTTCGCAACATCAAAATCCAAATTGAGTACTTTTTTCGATAACAGTTGTGCCTCTGTTGTTGTAATTTTACCTCCTATCGTTGTATTAGTTGTGCTAATTCCAGTAAAGTTATTGTTATTACAATGCGCCAAGGGGGTTGTCGATATCTTTTCCATCTGTGAATTTCAGAAAAAGTAAAGGAAATGTTTGTTAGTAAAATGTCGCGATTGTATGAATGCTTTATGTATTACATTAAAATAAGACTGGAAATAATGATATAGAAAGGAAATAATGTGGAAAAGTAATGAAGAGAAAGTATTCAAGTATATGTAAATTGTGGATGTATGGAAAGAAGCTTTAGAAATTGCTGAGCTTGACAGTTTTTTTCTGTAGTGGTTCTGTTAGTTCAAGAGCAATGTCAACGGGTTCTGAAAGTTGAGAATTTGTGTCTCAAGTCAATTAAGATAGGTTCATGTAATATAACATAGTTTTTTCAGTTCTGACTTAAATCCTCAACATTTGATTCCAAGATCCGTGACTATACTCATGCCTTAACGGTTGCTAGCTTTGCACCAACTTAAGTGATTAAATTAACGTTCCAAATAACTCTTCCGAACCCCTATAGAGTTCCAACACAAAATAGCACCAATATTCAACCAAAAACTGAGTTTATCTCCAAAATTCCAATCCCTGTTTTAGAAATTTATAAACCAAAAATAAAAAAAAAACGCGAAGGGTGTTCTTGGGACTCATTAAAATTTTATTTCCTTTTGCTTTTCAAGCTTATACATTCATTCATACAGGAAAACTTTCTTCCCCCAACTGTGTAGACATAAATTCAACATTGAATCAAGCTTTAGGCAGCTCTACTTGCCGTTTGTACAATAAAACCAAAACCAAATATGTACTCCTAGGCGTGCAATAAATTTTTACTTTGATGTACAAAGGCAGTGCTCTTATTTTTGGTGTGACACTTAATGAAAGTTTTATTTTCAAATGATAGAGTCAAAGAATGTCACATAATGAAGTTTATCGGCACGTTCAGCACTTTTTTGTGCCTTACTCAATGAAAATCACTTAATTTTTTAGCTCTTGCTTTTGCAGTAATTGAATGAATTTGAGAATTCCTCTTTTCAACCACTACAGGGGAAAATTCTCATAAAAATTCCACGGAAAGGTTAATTTTGATACACAGGGATTTGGTATACTGGATGGTAGAAGTCGTTTGACAATGAAGCTCAACTTAATTGAAACATTTCAGACATGAGGAAACGACACTCTTATTGTTAAGCTTTCAATTCTAAATAGGATTTGAACCAACGCATTCTAATTTTCGATCCTATGCTCATTAAGCTTGCTCAAGATTTAAAAAATTATCTTCACTCATTAAATCCTTTGGAGTCTATTCCTTAACCCTGAAAAATTCTAAAAGTCGTTTCTATTGTCGTAGACTCTTTAACTGTTTATAGGAACAACGCAATGGAATTTTTATTACTTACTCGCATAGTGAATTCACATTTTTCCCCTTTCAACGCTTTATTTTTGTTGCTTTTTTGTGTCGAATATTGATGTCACGATATTCATCTTGGTTATTTCATATAGACACTAGAAAAATTTTATACAGCATGAAGTAAATATTGTGGCTGAAAATAACGCGCTTATTTTTGAGTTTGTTGATAGCGCTTGTGCTTTATTTTGTGGCAACTGTTGTCAAAACAAAAACATTTAAGGCATACATTTTTAATCATGCTTGAATTTTTAGAATTATTGAATAGACACTGCTGTCTGTCTTGCTAAACATTCTTTTAAAGGAAAAGGGTTTTTTTTATCAAGTAATTTTATTGATGTTCCTGTATGCATTTATCTAAAAACAATCACTTTATAGCTTTACATGATAAGTCAAATTTTTATTTATTGCAGACATTTACGTTTTTTATGCTTATTGTATTGTCGAGTGCTTTACAGACATGACTTTTTTTTGTTGTTGTAGACTTATTGAATGCAAATTGGTAAGGAAGATTTCCTTTGCAGAAAGTAGGTCAAATTTGGTAATTTGGTTACGAATTACATATTAGAACTGAAAATACAAAAGAAATCGTGACTGGTAGAATTTTTTGGATTGAGCTACGGATCTGATTTATTTATAACTTGTTTTTCAAGAAATTTTCGTTTTCAAGGAAACAATTATGACGAGAAGTAGAACAAAGCTAGAAATGACTCTATAGTGTAAGTTAAGCTTGACTGTGACTAAAGTAAGGCAAACCGAACCCCTAAAAGCCCACCCAAGTGCTACCTGAACTAAGATCTGCGACAAACTTGCTTGTCGTAAATGGTTTACTGTGTCGCACATGAAAAAGTTGTGTAGCTTTGCCTAAGATGGCTCTAGATGTCAAACTAGTTCTGCATTCAAATTCATTCCAATCTGACATCATCAGCAAAACTAAAAGTCACTCCTCATACACTCATAAAACATCCCAGACACATAAAAATAGACTAAAAATTTCCACTTAAAGGTAATCAAACTCAATAAATAATAAATAATAGACACAAAGTGTCACGAGTGTCTAATAAATTTTTAATAGCGCCAACTCAATTTTTCACTATCAACTGTTATTTATGACCATGAAAGGCCATTTTAGAATTGGAAGGAGTCTATTTGCTAGAAAACAAATATAAATTAGGTCCTATGCAATATAATAGAATCAATAGAAATTGTTTATAGCATAAAAAGTTTATTATACAACGTGAATAAGCCTCTATTCCATGGTGAACCCCCATCATCATCGCATCGTCGTTGTTGTCTCCACAAAAAAAATATAAATGGAATGAAAATTATTTAATATTCATTTATGCACAAACAACATAATGGCTTACAAAATGATTTACAGTTTCCAGTATATAAAATATGAGTATTACTGCTGTTGTTTTTATTATTTTTATTCATTTTTTTCGTTGAGGGGTCGATCATAAATGATGTTATTCAAAATGTTGTCCTTTTAAACCCCTTTATATCAATCACACAATATTGGCTTTCTATGAAAGTGTTACACTGTAATAAATCCAATCGTAGGACATTGGACATCATTTACAAACGATCCCAAGGTTATCCAACATAAATATGAAATTATTACAGACACCACAAAAGATGTAACATGCTCACAAAAGGGAATATAAAAAAATACAAATGATAATCGCGTTTGGTCACCTCAATTGTTCACTTTTATTCGACCGAAATTTATTCGCTGTGTTATGTGCTAAATAGGTTTCCTTTCCTTTCACTTAAACTCCATTATGGATAATAAAGGTGATGGAAAATGGATGCAAATTTTGTGGAAATGTTAATGCTCAGCTTTTCGGGGTCAACGTGGATAATCGTTAATGTTTTTCAGACTTTTTTGGGTTTGTGAGATATTAAAAAGGTTTTTTGAGGGTTTGAAAATTTGGAACTTGGAAAATCAAGATGTATTTTGGCTAATCTGTTGAAATAAGATTAAGACTTTCTTGACGGAAAGTGTTTAGACATAGAATTTGAAATTTCTCATTGTGAATTTACTTTTTATAAAGTTTGGGTTCGATTCTTATCAAAAACCTTCTAAACTCGATCTGTGAAAAGTTAAGAATGTTATATTTCATTGATCCAAAGAACAGATGAAGAACCTTTTTAAAAATATTAAGCTAAATCTTCTATTGATAACAAGAAAAGCCCCAACATTATTCAAAACATTCGAAATTCCCAAAATCATCTAATAATTCATCATAGATCAAAAGCTAGCTTTAGCAGACAAGGTCAGATCATTATTTCTTGACGAAATACAAATATCCAAGAAGATACAAATTGTCATTAAGTACAAAAACAAGAAATTCGTAGCCAGGAGATATAATCGTATCAAAACTTTCTGAATGAGTGCACCAATCATTTTTTAAGTAGAACTCATTGTCGTGGTAACAAAATGCCTGTCTGAAACCTTTTCGAGAATTTGTAAATTTATTCTGCCTACAAACTTATCTAAAATTACCACACTTAAATGATTCTTAAGAAAAAGTTAAATGATACTTGGAAGGATTTTAAGTTTAGTTTAGATTTTAAATGCTGACAATTACTGACAAATATTTTCTCAACAACAGCAGTTATTGTCTCGTCCATAAAAGTGATTTTTGAGTCCCTTCAACTGTTAGCCCTCCTTCAACCCACATCTAAACTTCGTAGTTTACCTTAAAATTGTAACAAACTTTAACATTGAGCGTCATAATTTCTTTACAAAAATAGGCAAGAATCTTAAATTGGTCCCCAAGAATCATCCCACACACAGCTGTATGTCGTCATTACAATTTTTATGTCAATAAGTTCCAACCGAACAAGAAAAGCAAAACATTTTTAACAATGAAACTTTCAACCAATTTTTTTCCTTCTTCAAACTTTTTACTGCTTTTTCCAAGCTTTTTCACATCTTCGAATATCCATTTCATGAGGAAGTGAGAAGAAAAGTCTCTTTGGATCCATCAAAAAATTTAAAATTACATGTGGGCATATGTGTTGGTTGTTGTTTACTTTCTTGATGGATTTGTTGAAAGTTTAAATGGTTGAGTAAATACCAAGAATTGAATGTTGAAATGTGTTCCTTAAATTTCAATACTTTTGATTGAATTAACGTTGTTTTGGATCTATTTCGTGAGAACATTTAATTTTATGAATGCAAAGGTTTATAAAATGATTGTTAAGGCATGGTTCGAGTTTGCATAGATAAGGACCATTTGTTCAGTCAATTCTGTACGAGAAAATTAGAAGGAATTGAAGCTCAGACAAAAAAATCTGTTTTCTTTCGAATCAAAGAACTTAAAAACTAAGTTGAATTCTTGCATCCTAAGCTTTTCCGCTCAACACCTTCATTTATGCCATCAAACGCATCAATAAAGCCTATCAATGTCCAAATCATGTTTACGCTAAGGTCATCTGTACGTAGAATTCTCAAATCAATAACAAAATGTTCGACAAAAATCGACAACTAGCTCAAACACGTGAACAAAGCTCATTATTTATTGAACAAAAACACTTTATGTCTACACATATTTAAACTAAGTTCTAAACTTAGACAGTGTAAAATTTTGTACTCCCACGAGAAATTCGAATAACAATTGTTATATCCACTCTTCAATGAAGCTATTTTTATCAAATAGT